GCATTGTAAAAAAAATACAAAAGTGTGGTGTGGTGGTGGTGGTGCATACCTTCAATCCTAGCACTCAGGGAGTCAGAGGCAGGAGGATCTCTGTGAGTTTGAGGCCAGCATGGTCTACAAGAGCTAGTTCCAGAACAGGCTCCAAAGCCATAGAGAAACCCTGTCTCAAAAAAACAAAACAACAACAACAAGAAACCACAACAACAAAACAAACAAAAACTCCAAAATACAAAAGTAAGTTGAAGAGACTTGTTCTTCCTTAAGCTGCTTTTGTCTGGTACTGTGTCACAGCATGAAGTGGAGTAACACACATGCACACATCAATACACACACATATACTTTCCTTACTAAGAGAAAACATTGTTTTTCTGAGTCTTGCTTATTTCACTTAATATGACAATCTCTAACTACATTTTCCAGCAACTGTGACACATGTATTTCCTTTTTATGGCTGATTGAAACGCTTTACATGTACAATTTTAACTTTCCACACTTTTATCTTAAAATATCCTTATACATTTAAAATGTATTAATTTAACTTACATGTGAGCTTCTTGAATAAAAATTTTTTTCTTTTTCTTTTTTTCTGAGACAGGGTTTCTCTGTAGCCTTGGCTATCCTGGAACTCACTCCGTAGAGAACTCACAGAGATCTAGCTGCCAAGTGCTGGGATTAGTTGTGCAACCACCACTACCCACTTCTGTGTATTTACTGTACCTTATAATGTTATAGACCTCATATTCTGTTAATTCTTTGTGTTCATATGTGGACTGTGAGCTTAAGGTAGATAACTTAATTGACCTTGGTTTTTAATACTTATTTTTAGTTAATTGGGTATATATAGAGAGATCTTGTTGTCTTTGTGTGCCCTTTTAGTTTTAATAGTAATTTGTAGGGGAGTCCTGGGAGTTGAACCTACAGCCTTGTACACTAAGCAAATGCTTCATCACTGAGCTGTATCTCACAGACCTCTGTATGGTGTGTTTTGAGGCAGGGTCTTTCTAACTCACTCAAATACCAAAGTAGGTCTTGAATTTGTCATCCTTCTCCTTAGCCTCACAGGTAGCTGCACAGCCAGACCCAGGTTTGTTTTCATATTTATTAACAAGATATTACCTGAGTTTAAATCTGTTTTTAGTTGTTTCTGATGTAATGATTAAGAATAAAGGCTTTTCCAGGGTCAGAAAGGTGGCTTAGCTGATAAAGATACTTGCCACCAAGCCTTACAACCTTGAGTTTCATCTCTGGGACCCAGAAGATTGAGAGAGAGCTGCCACAAGTTGTCTTTTGACCTCCACGTGAGTGTCTAACATACGCATACATACTCCTAATAAATAAGTAAATAAATATTATTTTAGAAAAAGTAAAAGCTTGGGGATCAAATTGCACAATCATTTTCTAGCTATATGATCTTGAACTAAGAAACTGACCTCACCAATTCTCTACTTCTGTATTTGAAAAAGAGGAAATGCTAATACTTACAGTATTGTGAGAATCAAATGCATAAAAATACATAAAATAGAGTAATACTTGCATATTATATATATTTATTTATTAACTATTATTTCTCTTAATTTGTTCTCTGGCAAATATTTCTCACTTTATTAGGTATTGCATTAGGTACTGGGGCAATATGTGCTCCCTGTACTCCTCAGTGAGCCTTGGCATTTACTGGGTACACAGAAGTCATATGAGCAGTTGTTCTAGTGGTAGTGAAGAATTACTCTTGTCATTAAATTGAAACTGCTCCAAACATATATGTTTTTATTGAGTTAGCTTTATCAAATAGTTTTATTAATTGCATAAATATAAAAGAGAAAATGTATTTACTATAAAGTGTGAGAAATGAATGCATTAAATTATCACCTGGTGATAGAAATGAACTGATAAATCCTAGAAAATTTGCCACTGACCATGTTTTGATTGCTCAATAAACAAGTTTATTCAAATCTGTATTTGTTTTTCTTTTTTAAAGCAGAGTAATTCAAGCTAAGTGTGTAGTACAAGCCTATAATCCTGGCACTCTGGAGGCAGATTAAGAGGAACAGAAGTTCAGGGCTAGCTTAGTTGAAAAATAAAATAAAAGGCTGGGGAGGATTTATCTTAAGTGGTAGAGTACTTGACTAGCACTTATAGGATAGTCGGTTCAGTCCCCAGTACTATATACAAACAAACAGAAAACATTGGGGGAAGCCTGGGTAGTGGTGGCACACACCTTTGATCCCGGCGCTCAGGAGGCAGAGGCAGGCATATCTAGAGTTCAAGGACAGCCAGGGCTAAACAGAGAAATCTTTAAAAACAAAACAAAACAAAATCCATGCAAACAAGCATAAAACAAAACAACAAAAAGCCGGTTGATTTTGATAGCAAGGAACAAAGTGTTATAGATATTTTAGAGAAACATTCTAAAAGGAATTAAATCTAGTACTGTCTTTTGTTTTTATATGAATGAAATGTCTTGGATGTGATGCAAATGTTGCAAGAAGCTGGGCACAGTAGTCTGTACCTGTAATCCCACAATTTAGAGCTGAGGCAGGATTGACACCTTGTCTTAAAAATGTGATAGTTGGCAAATCTTTTTCTTGTTTTGTTTTATTCTTTTGTAGTGTTAGGGATAGAACCTCAAGTTTCATGCATGCTAGCAAGTGCTGTACCCACTTTAGTGTATTTCCAGCAGTGAAAATGAGGTCTCAAAGTATTGACAGCAAATTGATTAATTAAAGCTTTGTACATTTTTCCATGGCTGAAGCTGAGTGAAAGGTTGCTAATTGATCATCATTGTGGTAACTGATAACTCAGATTGAAAACAAACAAACAAATAAATTACAGGCCTGTAATCCCAGCAATCAGGAATCTGAGGCAGGAGAATGAAGATTTCAAGGCCATCCAGGGCTAACATCACCTTATTTCTATAAACCAAACCAAACCAAAGATGTTTGTTGCTGGAGTTTTCTTTTGTCCTGCCAGGTCCTGCCGCCCTTGAGTCCCCAAAAAACACATGGATAGTATATTAATTATAAACCTATTGGCCGATGGCTAGGGCTTCTTATTGGCTAGCTCTGTCTTAATTATTAACCCATATAACTACTCATCTATGTATTTCTACATGGCCTTATCTTACCAGAGAATGCCTGGTGTGTCCTATCCTCCTGGTCCCTACCTGGTGTCCTCTCAAGGTCTCCCTCTGCCTACCTTCCCCAGAGTTCTCCTCATCTCCTTGTCCCACCCATCTTTCTGCCTCTATTGGCCAGTGTTTTATTCATCAACCGATAAGAGGAACATATATATAGGACATCCCCCATCAGATGTTAAATTATTAGCCAAAGTGAGTCTTGACTGCATTTTTATTTTAAGTGGACAAATTGCTTTTGCAACTTGTTTTAATCTTTTTCTTAAGTCTAACAGCTTTATAGCCTCTGGTGTATCATTGTTTTATTTTTACAAGTTAGCTTCAAAGATTGTTTACTCTCATTGTCTCATATTTCATTCAACCTCTATAAATTGGCTTCTATCCCTTCCAATCTCTAATACTGTATGAGTAACCTTCACTTTTTGTGGTGTGTGTGTGTGTGTATGCCCACAATGCATACCTGTGAAGTGACCAACAGAAGATATTGTACATCCTCCTATCCTCCTCTATTGCTCTGCCTCCTTCCCTTTAGACAGGATCTCTCACTGACTCTGAAAGTCTTAGCAATCGTCCTGTCTGTCTCATGGATGCACAGCAAGGTCTCTTACCAGCTGACCCTGAGCCCACGCGTGAGATGCCTGAGATTTGCTATGGAATTTGTCATTTCTGTAATAACCTGGTCTCAAAATTTTCTTCCTGTCTGGGTATTGTGTATTTTTTTGTTTGTTTTTGTTTTTGTTTGTTTTGAAGGATGCTTTATTTTTGTTCATGCTGTTTTATATTTTAAGTTGCAGATTTGTACTTTAGAGTTTCTTCTTTGTTTTCACAGGGCTTTTGTTTTTGTCTTCTGAGATAGTCTCACTATTTTGCCCAGGCTGGCCTTGAATTCATGGTATGGAAGCTGGTCTTAAACTTTACTGCGTTTCTCTGCCCTCTCAGTCCGCAGCTCATTTATAGAACTTTGAAAAGTTGTATCTTTCCTGTATAGATTGTGGCATTTAAAATCTTTAAGTTTTCCAGGTGCTTGTGATGATAGACACATTTGGAAGCCACTGACCTAAAGTTCAAATTCTTCATCTGGTTCTTGACTGCCTCTCCAGCACCATGTCTGTGTGCTCCCCTCCCTATTTTCTGTGTTGTTTTGGGGATGATAGTATACTTTTTAAAATCAAGAGATGGTTCCAGATTTCTTACTGTTTTTCTCATTCCTACTATTTACCTCAACTAATCTTGGATTTCATGTGTTAAACTAGGGTTGAAAGCACAAGGCTGATCAAGATCAGTAAGACCAAGAAAGATCATATAATTTGTTGCTGGGGTAATGTAAAGAGTATATATCAGAATGTGTGTAAAATTCAGGGTTTGTATGTCTAACATAGTTCTTACTGTGTCTGCTTAGGTAATCTTAAGTGACTTTTTAAATATTCTTCTTTCTAAATAAATGGCCTTTAGTTACTCCCTTTAGTTTACTTCTTTACTTATTTAGCATTTATTTGAGTATGTAAGGACCAGAGCAGGACCTAGCAATGGGTGGATAAAAATAAATAATATTAATTTCCTATTCCTTGTGGTCTCAAAATGCATTTTATATAATTTACATTGTTGTAAAGTACTATACAAAGCTGGGTGGTAGTGGTGCACACCTTCAATCCCAGCACTTGAGAGACAGAGGCAGGTGGATCTCTGGTCTACAGAGTGAGTTCCAAGACAGGCTCCAAAGCTACAGAGAAACCCTGTCTCGAAAAACCAAATAAATATAAATAAATAAAAAGTAAATATAAAGTACTATACAGAAATCCAATTTGTTAACTTTTTAAAAGAGAAACCATAGTACATCCTTTTCCACTGTTTTCTTTCTTTTTTCATCCAGGGAAAGACCATGTTTGTAGATTTATTGGCTGTGGGAGAAATGATCGTTTCAACTATGTGGTCATGCAATTGCAGGTATGTTACCTTGAAAAATGTGTCTTAAAATTTTTTAGTTTTGATCAAAATACCCAGTTACAGTGAATATACATAAAAATGACAGCATTCTTATTATTATGTCCAAATGCTGTACACTGTGTACATGGAGATTTATTTAGACTTGGTATAGATTTTCGAAAAATTTTCTGTGCCTTTATTGGTTGTCATTTTTTCATAGTGTTTAATCTTAAAATGGGTTGTGGGCTGTATTGTGAACCTTTTCTTCCATTGTTCCTTCCTTTTCATCTTTCTTACCTCAGGCATTTCAGATCTCCACTCATGCTCTTCTCAAGTACCAGCCTCTTCAGTACAGTTTGTAAGCATTAGCTGGAGCAAAGGATAAATGCTGCTCCTCTCTCTTTCTGTCAGCATAGCACTGTTCCTGTCCTTTTAGATGGGAGTAGAGTTGGCAGTTCATAAAGAAAATGCAAGAGTAACAGTTGCAATAGGGAGAATCAGGAAACCATCCATTTCCTTGGCAAACACAGGCAACTATGGTTCACTGCCTGATTTTCAGTATGCACAGTTTCCTTTCATCTTTAGCAGACTTTATTTTAGGCATTTGGTTTCCTTGTTTTCTTTCATGTTATTTTCATGGCAGTGAGTTAAATTCATAACTCTCACCTAATTTTTTTTTCTTTTCAGAAGGCTTTTCTTTTTTTTCAAGTATTCTTCAATATTTAACTTTGTCCTAAAGATATTACCCTTTCCGCAAACTATGTAGTTGTTGATCTTTTTAAAATATTGTCTCACAGACTAGCATAAGATGATTTTGAGTTAACTATATAGCCAAGCCTGACTTTAACCTCAGGATCCTCTACCTTAGCCTCCTGATTTTGAAGATTACATGGTTGGCTTAGTCTTCTTTAAAGTTAATTAATTAGGGGTGGGAGGAGTTTGTCTTGCTGTGTGTGGTCAGAGGACAACTTGTAGGAGTTGGGTCTCCCCTTCTACCATGTAGGTCCCTGGGTTTGAACTTGGATGTCTGAATAGACAGCGAGTGCCTTTGCCTGCTAGGCCATCTCACTGACCCTTAAAGTCTTTTGGAATTACACAATTCCCCATTTCAAGTTAGCACATTTTAATTTATTGAATTGGTTACCTTTTATATTTTTCATTTCATTAATGTGTTCCCTGGAAAAAAGGTGATACCAAACATTAATTTTCAGATTTTTTTCTCTTTTCTTTTCTCTCTCTCTCTCTCTCTCTCTCTCTCTCTCTTCCTCCTCTCTCTCCCTCCTCTCTCTCTCCCTCCTCTCTCTCTTCCTCCTCTCTCTTTCTCTCTCTCTTGAGACTGGGTCTCCCTATGTAGCCTTGGGTATGCACGTTGATCTTTGAGTTCAAGGCCAGCCTAGTCTACAAAGTGAGTTCCAGGATATTCAGGGCTACACAGAGAAACCCTATCTTGAAAAACAAAACAAACAAAAAGTCCAATTTGAAGAAAGAATTGACATTTCTAAGTCAAATTTGTAATAGCAGACATGCTGATTACTTCTTTATATATTATAATTTTTTGGTCATATGTACTTCTTAATACATAGATGATATATCATTGGAATTTATATGAAGATGAACTAGTATGTTTAGAATGGCAGAGAGTTATGTTTGGTGAAGCATATTATCTTTGAAAATATATTGGCAGTGAAGTGATAGTTGCTTTTCTGTTTTTATATTTGTTTTATTTTTGTGTGAGTTTTTGTTTCCTGGGGTTTTGTTTTTTGTTGTTTTGTTTTTTGTTTTTTTTTTTTTTTTTTTTTTTTTTTTTTTTTTTTACATGTCGATCCCAGTTCCCACTCCCTCCCTCTTACCCTCTCTCCCCCCTCACACGCACCCTGACCACCCTCCCCTCCCATCACCCCACCCCAATTCCACATGTAGGGCAATGCCATTCAGGTGGGGTCATGTAGATCTGACAGGTCATTTGAAGTAGGGACTAGGACTTCTCTCCTGTCTCTAGGTTAAGGCAGTATCCCTCCATGGGGGATGTGTTCACAAGGTCCTTTTGTGCGCCAGGAATACATCCTGGTTTCACTGTCTGAGGTCCCTTAGACTGCTCAGGCCTTCTAGCTGAGACCCATATTCAGGGGGGCCTGAGTCAGTCCCATGCTGGATTCCCAGCTATCAGTCTGGGGGCCCGTTAGCTCCTCCTTGGTTTTTGGTTTTAAGAGACAGGATTTCTCTGTAGCTTTGGAGCTTGTCCTAGAATTCGCTCTGTAGACCAGGCTGGTCTCAAACTCACAAAGATCTGCCTGCCTCTCCCTCCCAAGTGCTGGAACTGAAGGTGTGCACCACCACTGCCCAGCTGGGTTTTTGGTTTTTTAAGGACAGGATTTCATGTGGCTTAGACTGGTCTTGCATTTAGTATGTACCCTAGAACTGCCTTGACATCCTATTTCTAGGCCTCCACCTGTCAGGTGCTAAGTTTACAGGTTTGAGCAAGCACATTTGGGGTTATCATTACTAGCTACTATGCCTGGTTACTGATCTCTTATTTTGGGAGTTCACTGTATTATTCTCTCCGTTAACTATGTTATCTAGTCTCTTTCCCGTCCCTTTGAATCTCATCCTCTTCCTTCCCCAACATCTGTCTCTGTCTATGTCTATATCTCTGTCTTTTTTCTCTTTTCTATTTTGTTATTTATTTAATTTTGTGTGTGTGTGAGAGAGAGAGAGAGAGAGAGAGAGAGAGAGAGAGAGAGAGAGAGAGAGAGAGAGAGAGAGAGAGAGAGGATCTTGCTGTGTAGCCACATTTGGCCTAGAAGTTCCTCTGTAGACTAGGTTAGCCTCAAAATTTTGGTAATAGTCTCTGTCTCCCTAGTACCATACTATAGGTATGTGGGACCATTCCTGGCCTTATGCACTTTCATTATTCAAACAACAACAAAATATAGTTTTTTCTTGTTAAATTTATAGAATTACTTGGGAAAAATAAGCTCTAGACAATTTCTTGTGATTACTTTATGAAAAGATTCCCCCTTTAAAAGAAAAACACAGTTCTTGTGTCAGCCTTGCATTTATCCTCCCAGATTTTGTTAGGTTTTTTTTTTTCTGGTGTGTGTGTGTGTGTGTGTGTGTGTGTGTGTGTGTGTGTGTGTGTGTGTGTTGTTGCTGTTTTGAATTGGGATCTTATTCTATAGCATGGGCTAGCATGGAGCTAGCTCATTTTGCAGTGCCTTAACTTTTGTCTCCCTAATGTTAAGATTAGCTCTGTGTGATGGCACACTCCTGTAATTCCCAAACTTGAGGTAGACTCAGGAGGGTAAGAATTCAAAGTCAACATGGCACGCTCCAGGACAGACATGAGCTACATAGACCCTGTCTCAAAAACAAAAACAAAGAATTTAAAGTCAGCCCTCTGCTACATAGCAAGATCTAGTCTAGCCTGGGCTATAGACTTGGCTCATTAACAACAATAACAAAAACTACTAGAAATATAGGCATGAGACATCATGCCCCAATCACCAGTTCATACATTAAAATTGCATTTTATGACATTTAAATAATTCCTGATATCATTAATCATGTTGATTCCATTGAGTTCTTATGATAGTAGTTGATTTTTTTTTTTTTTTGTTTGTTTGTTTGTTTTTGTTCTGTGGTTTTGTTTTGCTTTTTGAGACAGTTTCTCTGTGAAACAGTGGTGGCTGTCCTGGAACTCACTCTGTAGACCAGACTCACAGAGATACGCCTGCCTCTATCTCCCAAGTGCTGGGATTAAAGGTGTGCACCACCACTGCCCAGTAATAGTTGTTTTTAAATTAAATCTTGGTATTATCTGAGATGTACTTTTGGTTATTTGTTTGTTTGTTTTTTTTTTTTTTTTTTCAAGTCAGGGTTTATATAACAGCCCCAGCTGTCTTGGAACTCACTTTGTAGACCAGGCTGGCCACTTTTGAGAGCTGAATATTTACTGTATCATATTTGTGAGGCCTGAGCTTTGATTCCAGGGTTGGAAGGAAGCTAGCAGTTGAAGAGAATATGAGAAGTTTTAAGCATGGATAACATACTTTATTCACTAGTACACAGACTAACGGCAGGCAGGCACTCACAGACAAATAGGCTGCACAGGCAAGGGCTAAGGCAAGGATGGGCAAGGATGCTTGCCTCCTCCAACCTCAAGGCCATATTGATAGGGGAAAAAAAAAAACCCCACACCAAAAAATGGCATTTTACCTGATGTTGGCAGCACAAGCCTTTAGTCCCAGATCTTGGAGGCAGAGGCAGGCAAGTCTCTGTGAGCTTGAGACCAGCCTGGTCTACAAAGCGAGTTCCAGGACAGTCAGGTGGTTAAACAAAGAGACCCTGTCTCTTTAAAAAGGAGGAAAAGAAAATGGCATTTTGCCAGAAATTGTTAAAGAAGAAATCACATCACTGCTTACTCTGAGTTCCTTGGATATCTTGTACCAGATAGCTCCCCAGATGTCTAATTCATGTTTTAGCTGACTCATGCCAGATAGCCATACCATCATCTAGTTGTTTTAAACTTTTGTTGGCCTTTATGGCCTTCTGTTTCCTATAATATTTGCTAATAGTAACAGTCCTTAGGATTTGTTGAATACAAGGCAGTATTCCAGAAACTTCATGTGGTTTGTATTTAATCCTCGTAAAATTATGTGAAAAATTAATTTTTTTATTTAAAAAACTGATGTTTGAAAATTAAGTAACCTGTAGGGAGTGTGTTGGGTAGTAATGAGGAATACAGCTGTGGATATTGTGCTGGTTAGTGTTAACCCAGAACCACCTGGGAAGGGGAGTCTCTGTGAGGAATTGTCTAGGTCTGGTTAGCTGGTAGGTACAGCTGTGGGGGTGTCTTGGTTTTTAGTTGATGTAGGAAGATCCTGCCCTTTGTGGGTAGCACCATTCCTAGGCAGAAGCTCCTGAACACTGAAAAAGAGAGGAAAGCTAGCTGAGGGCTAGCAAGGATGTGTTTATTTTCTCTTTGCTGTTGACTCCAGATGTAATGTGACTAACTGCTTGAGTTGCTGTCTTGACTTTCCCAAAACATGATGGAGTGTAACTTGACATTGTAAGCCATATAAACCCATTTCTTTCTTTATGTTGCTTTTTGTTAAGGTGTTTACCATAGTAACAGAAATGAAACTAGAACAGATGACTATATTTTATATTTTTTTAAAGTAGTCACATCTAAGAAGCTGATGATGTAGCTAAGTTGGTGTAGTTTGATTAACATGCATGACGCTCTGGCTCTGGGTTCAATCCCTATTATTTCATAAACTTGGCATGGTGATACACACTGGTAATTCCAGAAATTGGGATTTGGAGGCAAGATCAGTTCAATGTCATCCTTGGTTGTACAGGAAGTTCAAGGTTAGCCTGGAGTACATGAGACCCCCTCAGAAAGAAAGAAAAGAAAAGAAAAGAAGAGAATGGAAAGGAAGGAAGGAAAGAATCAAGTCTACATTTTTTAGAATAACAAGGATAAATCAAAACATGATGACTTAGAAACATGGTTAGCATGCTTATTCTTAGGGAGAGAGAGAGAGATGGAGAGAGAGAGAGAGATGACTCAGTGGTTAAGAGCTCTTACTACTTTCCTAGAGGACTCCAGTTCAGTTTCTAGACCCAACGTTGAGCAGCTCACAGCTATCTCTAACTCCAGCTCTAGGTTGTCAGATGTCCTGTCTGGTTTCTGAGAGCACCCACAGTCATATACACACAGAGGGGTACATACACATAATTCTTTGAGTTAAAAGATCCCAGTTTAGGCAGGAGCCTTACTGTTTCCATCACAGCATTTTATAATGCGGTAATATAGTGAATTTTGAGTCTTATTACTACATTAGGACTGTATTTTAAAGTGATTGTCCAACTCCATAGGGTCGGAATCTGGCAGATCTTCGACGTAGCCAGTCCCGGGGCACATTCACCATTAGCACTACTCTTCGGCTTGGGAGACAGATTCTGGAGTCTATTGAAAGCATCCATTCTGTGGGATTCCTTCACAGAGACATTAAACCGGTAGGAGCCTTGTCTTTTTCAAGCACAGAAGGCTATGGTTTGGTACTTCTAATGTTAGAAGACAGAACGTGTAGTTTTTTGTATTTGTTGTGTTAAATACAAAGGAATTTTTTATTTCTGTAATGCCCTAAAAGCAAAAATAATTTAACTTTTAGTTTACTTAGTTTTGTTTTTAAAGTGATAATTAGAAACTACAGCTTATTTTTAATAGTCTTTCTCATATCATGAAATGTTGCTTGCCAGCTAAATTAAAATTTCTATGTTTGGGGCTGGGAGATGATTCACTTGGTAAAGTACTTGAAGACTTGAGTCTTGAGTCAGATCCCTGGAACCCATGTAAAACAAACAAACAAAAAAATAAATAAAACAGGCCTGGCAGTGGTGGCACATGCCTTTAATCAAACTACCACTTGGGAGGCAGAGGCAGGCAAATCTCAGTGAGTAGGAGGCCAGCCTGGTCTACAAAGTGAGTTCCAGAACAGCCAGGATTGTTACATAGAGAAACTTGGTCTCAAGGGGGAAAAAAAAAAAAAAAAAAAAAAAATGGCTATGGTGGTACACACTTGTAATCCAAAGGCTGGACAGGTGAGATAGGAGGATCTCTGGTCTGGCGCTTGCCAACCCTAGCCAGCTTGAGGAACAACACCGAAGGCTGTCCTCTGTTCTCCACATGTAGCTTTACATTTGCCTTCACATAAAAGTTCTGTGCTTACCAGTTTTTGATTAGAATATTTTGGCATTGCAAATTATTCAGCCTCACATGTAGATCATTAGTTTGAGTTGTGTGTTTCTTGATACCAGTTGTTCATTTTCTCAAGTCACCTGATATATTCATTAGGATAATCAACTATGAAAGGCCTTAATCTTCTCCTGAGAGCTACTGTGGAAATAAAATTTGTTTTCCCTTTTGTTTTTGTTCAGTTTTATTTTTCATATAAATCATTGTTGCCATTACTGAAATGTGCTTTTCTAATATTTTATTCTTCATAAGGGAAAATGACCCATTTCTGATATCGCATATTTATAAATTTATTGATATTGGTGCATTTGAAAAGTAAGGCCATCTATTATTATTATTACATCATTTCTAAAATTAGTTTACATGAAAATGGCAACTAAATTTCTTCAAAGTGGGTTCTTTTAGAGTTAGAACCATTCTGAAACTAGAAACTGGTTACCAGTTAATATTCCATTTAAATAAAACAGTATGATTAAGTGATTTGTTTTAAGTCAGTTATTGCATTGGGGAGATTGAATTTAAAAAGGTTCACAGCTTTGTGAGGTAGAATCAGAGTTACAACTACAGAGTGTGTTTTTGCTGTTTTGTGCCTTTCTCTGTCTCTTTAAAAAATAATTTATTTTTGTTTTATGTACATTAGTGTTTTTCCTTCATGCATATCTGTATGAGGGTATCAGATCCCCTGGAAAAAGAGTTACAAGCAGCTGTGAGTTGCCATGTGGGTGCTGGGAATTGAACCCCGGTCCTTTGGAAGAGCAATCAGTGTTCTTAACTATTGAGCCATCTCTCCAGCCCCCCAGTAAAATCATACTTTTTAAAAAAGTAAAAGTTGATGTCATACCTTGAATTTTACCATTACAGATTTCCTTATTTGCATATGTATCTTTACAAATTTGTAGTCATTTAACACAAATTACATAGATTTTAGGTTTGGAGGCTTTTTGTTTTGTTTTGCTACAGAGTCTCCATGTAGCTAAGGCAGACCTTAAGGTCAGGGTGACCTTAAACTGAGATTCTCTTTTCTGTTTCCTAAATGCTGGAATTAAAAGTATATGCTATCACATCTGAATGTACTGATTTTTTTTTTTTTTTTTTCAAGACAGGGTTTTTCTGTAGCTTTGGATCCTGTCCTGGAACTGGCTCTGTAGACTGGGCTGGCGACCTTGAATTCACAGAGATCTACCTGCCTCTGCCTCCCGAGCACTGGGAATAATGGCAAGCGCCACCACCGCCTGGTTTAATTTATTTATTATGACAGGGTTAATCTATAACTTATCATATAGACTAGTCTTATCTTGAGCTTAAAGAGATGAGCCTGCCTCTGCCTTTAGTACTGGAATTAAAGGCATGCGCCACTACATCACAGCCAGCCTTTATACTAACAAAAAGGTTGAGAAATAATAAAAATTCTTTTATGTTATATGTATTTCTTCTATCCCTAGCTTCCCTCATTTTTAGGATGTTGGGTTGTCATTTAAGCAGTAACTTGGACAAGAATTTCAAGGAATTGTATATGTAACTGTTACTATATTATTATATGAAACTATACAAACATTTAAATTTATTTTTGTTCAGTTTTCCTGGGGGTAGACAAACCATTAATAACTCTTTGTCAAGTCCCTAATTGTATTTACAAGCACACTCCACTATGGTCCAGCAACTAAATTATACCATATATTAATGCACAGTAAAAACATAGACTTACAGTAGTGTATCTGGAACATGCTATATAGACTAGAAAAATTCATGTAATGTGAAATGTAAGCAGGACTGAGTAGTATAAGAATATGTATTTTCCTTCTATTTTTTTTCTAGTCAAACTTCGCAATGGGACGCTTTCCCAGTACATGTAGGAAATGTTTCATGCTTGATTTTGGCTTGGCCCGACAGTTTACCAATTCCTGTGGGGACGTCAGACCAGTAAGCTTTTTCATTACTATTTAATATTTGATAATTAAACTATTTCTAGTATCACTTTAAAGAGATGCTAATTATGTATGAGAATGAATATTTGGAGGAAGGTATGAAGCTCAGTGAATAAAAAAAAAATGTTTGTTTCTATTGAAACCAGATTGTTAGATTACCAGATTAAGAAACTAGTGTCTAGAGTGAGCTGCATATAATCAGTAGGAGACATTAAAGGGATCAGTATTGGCTCAGGATTCCCCAAGACCAAGTTATCAGCACAAAGGAGATGTATTTACTCCACAGGGACAAAGGGAAGTGGGTAAGAGGCAAAGAGAGCACATGGAGGGCAAAGGCGAAGGGGAGGGGGAGGGGTAGCTGTCAGGTGGTGGGGGCACAAAGGACTCCTCTGGATAGGAAAATTACAGTTTATAAAAGTACAAGGGGAAAACCTGTGTGATACAGAAATGATGGGGAAAAAAGGGTAGATTATTTAATCTACTTTAATCTAAAAACCAATTGTTTGGGCTGGAGAGATGGCTCAGAGGTTAAGAGCACTGGCTCCTCTTACAGAGGTCCTGAGTTCAACTCCCAGAAAACACATAGTGGGTCATAACCATTTGTAATGGGATCTGATTTTCTCTTGTGTGAATGAAGACAGATCACTCATATACATAAAATAAATATTTTAAAAAGCAATTGTTAATCTCAAAATATTTTACATTGGTATGGATTTTGGTTTATTGATACAAATTTAAAGTTAGTTTTGATGTATGTATATTCCTACTCTTGTTTAAGATATATTTCTGCAACTCATTTAAAAATGTAATATATAATTAAGAAGTACAGAATTACAAAAATACTGTTAGTCATCTATAATAGTCAAACTTATAGTCATATTAGTAAGGTTTTCTAGATATTTTAGATAGATAGGTATTATTCAAATATTTCAAAGACCTACAACATATGCCCTTTAAAATGTTTTTAATAACTTACACAGTGAGATACATCTGTTCTTGGCAGAACCAATGTACTCCAAAAAAGATGATGGCAGGCATCAAGAAACTCCATTTGGAGTTTGTTCTCTTTATGGCAAAAGCTAGCCATGTGGGCAAAGAAACTGCCCTTCCTCAATTGCTGACAGTTATTGTCCAAACTGGACCAGCAGGACACAAGAAAAGTGACTGTTGAGCTTTGCTAAGACCAGGTAGGACAGTCCTTCTAAATTTCCTGCTCTACAGGAAAGTCTGTCAGATATGCTAGGCCTGTAAGCCAAAGATGGATGTCTCAACAGAGGAACCTTGGGTGGCTGTCCAGGCAGCCAGATGTTTCTATTATTTCTCACATTTTTTTAGAAGTTGCTTGCTCTGCACTTCCTGCTTACTCAAGTAACATTATTTCCTTCTCAGGTCTTTGATGGAGTTGAAGACTAGATAGTTATAATTATAGTTTTTTTCTCAGTTATGATTAAAAAATGGTAAATTAGTTATAAAATTTTAGACTCACCAAGATAAGATAGATAATTAGGTATTTTCTCTAATTTTGCCAAATACGAATGGACTGGATATTGTAATAACTGTTTTGCTGTATATAATTTTACTATGTTAAAGTTAAAACCTTCCTTTTTGATTAGACAGAAAGAGGGAAATGCTATGGAATAATCCTTCTGTATACTGTGTGTATATGCATGGCTCTTATTGTTTAATAAGCTGACTTGGCCTGTAACAAGGCAGAATAAGGCTAGGTAGGAAAGCCAAACTGAAAATACAGAAAGGAAGAAGGGTAGAATCAGGGAGAGAGATGTTAGTTAACTGCTGAGGAAGCAAGATGCTAGACAATAGGTAAAGCAGTGAGCCATATGGCAAAATGTAGATGATTAGAAATGGATTAATTTAAGTTGTAAGAGCTACTTAGTAATAATCCTGAGCTATATAGGCTGAGCATTCTGTAATTAATGTAAGCTTTTGTGTGATTATTTGGGGAGTGGGTGGTCAGGACAAAAGAGAACTCCACCTCCCTTTACACCTGTATTAGGATGAGGTGTTTAATTTTAATTGGGCATGTTAATTTATGGCAGCCAAAAGGGAGCTTTTGATTGCTGTACTAAAATACTTTGATAGCTAGACCTTGGTAGTTAGCCTTAGGAGGAGGAATAAGAGGATGGACCTTGGTGACTAGCTTTAGGAATGTAATCTTATGGTGTTTTAGCAAGGCAGAGGGAATGGACAAAAAGGGTAAGGCCTGCCATGACATGAGTATTAACTTTGTGATATATTAGCACAACTTTCTGTGGTATATGGAAAGTTAGTCTTCTCTGGTGAATTTGTATATAAAGGCAGTTATGCTGAAGGCACAGCAGATTGGTGAGCTAGGGAGGTAGGGGCATAAGGAATTTGATCAAATGTCCAGAGGACTTTTAGTAAACTTACCTCTTAAGATTTTTGCTGGGGCTGGAGAGATGGCTTAGGGGTTAAGATAATTGGCTTTTCTTCCATTGTTTCAATTCCCAGCACTCACATGACAGCTCTAAACTGTCTGTAACTCAGTTCCAGAGGTTCTGACACCCTCACACAGACATACATGCAGACAAAATACCAGTGCACATAAACTAAAGAGAAATAATTTTTAAAAACAAAGATTTTTGCCAAAACTGGTCTTGCAAAAACAAACAAAGATGCCCCCAACCAAGGCCAAGTTTAGAAAAGACTCGAGGGAGTCTGTAGCTAGGCATGTCAGGAGAAAGAATGTCAGAGAGTACACCAAGCATATCTCATTCTCTTTACCAGCAGGCTGCTAAGGCAAGGTGGAAATGCACCAGTCTTGCTCCTTCTAGAAAGAGAGCCCTTGGTGGACCCTGATGGGGGGGAGGCTAGCCATGTGTTCCTGACTGCAGCAGTTTGGAATTGAGTCACTTTAGTCAAGCTGGGTGACAGGAGAGAGCAGTCTTGGTTTGGATACCACAGACCCTTACCTTTCTTACAGGATGTTCACAAGTTCTCTTGAAAATATTTTATTTGTTTGCCTTTAAAGATATTTCTAGAGGCTTATGTATTTTGTTTTTAACTAATGTTTATCAAGTTTCCTGGGAAGTGAGCCAGGAACCCTCTCTATATTGTTTCGCTGGCACTTCATCTCCCATTATAACTTTTCTGTTGTTTATTCTAAATTTTTAATTTGTTTAAACTTGTTTTTTTTTTAACTATGATTTTCATTTCTATCAGGTTAACCAGTGGTATAAAAGTTAAAATTTTTATTTTGATTGAGCCAACTGTATACTAGTTATACATACAGCTATGCAAATTATTATTAAAGTCTAGGCATATGAGAATCTTTTTTTTTGTTCTTTTGGAATTTTTTTTTGTGTCAGGGTCTCATTTGTGTAACTCTGGCTGTCCTGGAACTCACTTATGTAGATCAGGCTGGCCTCAAACTTACAGATCTGCCTGCCTCTGCATCCCAAGTGCTGGGATCAAAGGTGTGCACTGCATATGAGAATTTAGTATTAATGAAAACCAGATTTTGATTCCAACCATCATGTAACCCAGCATGGTAGTATATGGTTGTGATCTAGCATTTGGGAGGTGGCTCAGAAGTTCAAGGTCATCCTCAGCTACAAGGTGAATTCAAGGCCAGACTGAAGCACATGATTAGAGTCCTTTGGCTATATGCCTAGCAGTGAATTAGCTGAGTCATATGGTAATTCTAATATTTTTTTTTTTTTTGGAATGCTTGTACACTGATTTCTATAGTGATTATAATAGTTTATATTCCTATTACGAGTAAATAAGGATTCCTCTTTCCCTACACACCAGCATTTGTTGTTGTTTGTTTTCTTGATGGTGGTCATTCTTAATGAGGTGAGAATAGAATCTCAAAATCTTTTTTTTTTTTTTTTTTTTTTTTAAAGGGTTTTTTTGAGGCAAGGTTTCTCTGTAGTTTTTGAGCCTGTCCTGGAACTCACTTTGTAGACCAGTCTGGCCTCAAACTCACAAAGATCCACCTCCCTCTGCCTCCCAAATGCTGAGATTAATGGCATGTGCCACCATCGCCTGGCTTTCAGAGTCTTTTTAATTTTAATTTCTCTGATGGCTCTTGAGTGGTAGATGTTCTTTTGCCTGGTCTTTTCTATTGGTGTTGTTTTCTTCTGTATTTTATGTTTAATTGATTATTTTTCTGTTTATAAAACAAGCAAGACCTTGCTCTCCCAGAATATATCCAGTGGAATGAAGATAGCCAGTAAATAAAAAGGAAACATACAAATAAAACTGACTTGGGCTTACCGCCTGAAACATAGTACAAGGTGATCCTACATTCAAAACAGCTAGACAAAACAGCCCTACAGACTACAGCCAGGATATCTGAATCTTCTTAGAATCCCCCATGACAGTGCCCCTTACCAGCAGGAAGTAGTTTGGAAAGAACGACACCCAAATTCCCAAATATTGTGTATAAATGTTTATTTTCATTTAATTGGACTTTGTTATATAAAATTAAATAAAATAATAATAATAAAAAAACTGATGGGCTTGTAAAAGGAATTCTAAAAACATGGCATCTGTGGAAGAACACAGTGCATTGCAAGCAAGAAGAGGTGTTCTATATTCAGATGATTGGTGCTGTAGGTGCTCTAAGCAGAGGTTTTCGTTACAAAAGTTAGCTCCAGGAAGGATGCAGTGAGGTAATAGCCTAAAGAATAGCAAGTGTAAAGTTTTGAGCTAGAGAAAAAAAAACTGGTGATAGAACAAACAATAGGAGACTCATTATGAGAAGGCAAGATATAGAAAGTCTTTTAAGCCAAGTAGCATGTGGACTTTATTTGGTGTTATATTGTCTGGGGCTATGATAATGTTTGGCTTCATCTCTATTACTTGGCATAACTAAGTATCCTACAACTTATATTTTAACATAAATTGCTTATGCAGGTAAGTATAGACATAACCTATTTTAAATTAAATTTCAATAAAATAGGCAAAATATGGTGAGATTGGCATCTTAACATTATATAGTGGTTCTTCATGTTATATGTATTTGTAACCAGAGTCTAGGCATTAATGTTTGTGTATGCCATGATGCTTTGGTACCTGATGATTCTGGGTCAATAAAAACAATTGATTTTTCTAATGTACAGACTGTATTTCATAAAGACATTTGGGGTATGTGTGGGTGTTCTCCTTGGTATCAAACCCAAAGCCTTGCACATAATAGGCAATTGTGCTATCACTGAGCTACATCTCCCAAGCCCAATACCATTATTTTAAATGTAGGTAGATGAGCCTGTGAAATAGCTCAGTAGAAAAAGGCACTTGTCACTAAGCTTGAGGACTTGAGTTTAATCCTCAGTACCAATGTGGTAGAAGAAAAGAATCAGTTCTTAAAGTTTATCCTCTGACATCCACATGCACACTGTAGCATTCATCTTCCCTCGCTGTGACATCACACACACACACACACACACACACACACACACACAAAACAAACTAATAAATTAATAGAAATTAAGGATGCAGATAGAAGAAAAAATGACCAAAATAACTAAAACATCAGTGTTTTAAGTTGTCATTTAGAGATAATTTGTTCTCTAGTTTTTTGTAATCTCACTATAAAATTACAATAGTGTTTTATTTTGAAGCAATGCTCTACCATTTGCTTCATGCGTTCAACTGCATTATATTTTTTGCTATTTCATTTCTTATGATGTGGTTTATTGTAGCCTCGTGCTGTGGCAGGCTTTCGAGGAACAGTTCGTTATGCATCAATCAATGCCCATCGTAACAGGGTATGTATCTGATCCACGGTTGTCACAACTGCATGTTCATGACTTGTATCACCCTGATACCTTCATACCTCAGTTCAGAGGTATAAAAAGTGCTTAGGAGCTGAGGGTCCCTTTCATAGTTACACATTTACCTGGATAGTTGTTTTAATTTGCTCTTTTAGGCTGATGGTAAAAGAATTCATGGCACTAATTCATGGTAGGATGTGTAGTGGATAATAGATATGGACAGCTGCATTAAAAATGAAGTTGTATTTGCCAGAAAAGGCCACAGCTAAATACATCTGTTGGGAATATATCTGTTTAATTATGTATTAGCTTAAAGAAATAAAATACGTGGATTCTATTCTAAAAAATTATTTGAAGGGTGGATCCAGGGTAATAGCTCAGCAGGTAAAGGTACCTAATCACCTAGCCTGACAATCTTGAATTTGATCCTTGCAAGCCACATAGTAGAAGAAGAGAACTAACTCTGGCAAGTTGTCCTTTAATCTCTACACACTTACTATGGCACATTAGGACCCACACATGTACATACACACATGCACCCCAAACAGTATAATAAAAACAATTAATAGTGGATATAATACTGTTGATATCTGATGGAATACAGGTTGTTTTTCTTTATAATATGTACTAACTTTTTTACATCAAGCCCTTTGTTCTTGTAACAAGGGGCATGGAGATGTAAGTCAGCCTTAAAGCTCTTGACTAACATGGGAAGACCTGGTTTAAGCCCCACACTGCAACAAAAGCAATAAGCCAACGCATCAATTTTCCTGTTTCTAACTGAAAGAAAAAAGAAGACATTTAGGATTACTCTTATTATAGCGGTGTTTCCTACCCAGTTCTGCAGCCACCTTGATCCCAAAGCTGAGTCAGCCCCAAATGAACATGCAGACGCTATATTAGTTATAATACTGTTGGCCATTGGCTTGGGCTTCTTATTGGCTAGCCCTGTCTTAATTACTAACCCATTTTTATTAACCTAAGTATTTCCATTCTTCTTACTGGACAATACCTCACTCGAGTTCTCTCTTCCCTGGCCTCACATGATGACTCTTTTGTGCCTACACTTCCCAGAATCCTTGTCTGCTAGTCCCACCTATCATCCTGCCTCATTGGCCCCAGTGCTTTTTTCATCAACCAATATGAGAAACATGTACAGAAGATATCCCCATCACTTATTTTTAATTTTAAGAATTTTCTTTGGGTTAGGTTAATTTGGGTGTGAATTCTTTTATTTTTAACAAGGATGGCCTTAGACTTCTGTTCTGGTCTCTGCTTTTCCCTGCCATGTGCTGGAATTACTGGCATGCACTGCCACACTAAGTTTTATATGGTACTGGGTATCCAACCCAGGGCCTTATGTATGCTGGGCAGTTACTCTGTATGTTGGTTTTGCTTTTTTTTTTTTTTTTTTTTTTTTTTTTTTTTTGTGGTGTTGAGAATATAACTCAGGGTCTTATACTCAGTGAACTACTTTATTGCTGAACTACATCTCCAGGTAGGACATTTATATAAAAACATTTCTCAGTATATATATTCTGCATATGGATTGACACATAACAATGTGGCATACAGTTGTTTACCACCAGATGATTTATGGACAATTTATGGGTGGGCTTTAAACAATGTGATGTGCTAAAAAAATTTTGTAATGTAATATGACTGAATTCTCTTATATATCAAGGAAATGGGAAGACACGATGACCTTTGGTCCTTATTCTACATGTTGGTAGAGTTTGTGGTTGGTCAGCTGCCTTGGAGGAAAATCAAAGACAAGGTAATTTTGAATTGTAATATCAGTTTTGGTAGGGGAAAGAATAAAATTTTCTCTTCAAGCTGGGTGGTGGTGGCATACACTTTAATCCCAAGATTTGGGAGACAGAGGTAAGCAGATCTCTGTGAGTTCTAGACTAGCCTGGTCTACAGAGTGAGTTCCAGAATAGCTAGGGCTACTCAGAGGAACTCTGTCTTGAAATATTAAAAGAAAGAAATTCTCCTCAGTATTTTTGTTGAAAATATACTTAGTATAATTTAGTCTTCATATATTGAGATATCATGTAGAACAGATGGACATATCATTCAGTGCACCCCTAGCATGTTTAAGTCCCTGGACTCAATTTCTAGCACTACAAAAAATAGTAAGTGAAAAAAAAAAATTTTTAAATTCACATAATCCCTCTTATAGGTATATAATTTTTATATTTGAGTATCAGTTTAGTTGTAAACTGTATTTCCAACTTTGAAAAAAAATCCACTTACATATGAAACTTAAAATCTATAAGCAGCTTCACTGCATTATAGTATGTAGTAGAGAATATTATGATTTTTCTATGTATAGTAAGAATAGATAAATCTTATAAGAATATAATTTCTGATATGAATTATAGGTTTTAATTCTTAATTGTCAGGTTATTTTGTTTGAAAAGCTATTAATACTACCTTGGTAAAGGAAAGTAACCCAGTTTAAAGAACTCTTGGGGGCCATCAGTTAATTCACTGTTACAGACTCCATATCACTCTGTTAGCTTTGCATTTTACTATCTTCCCTTCCCACTTTTAAGGACTGTGTAAAGCCATTAGTGAGTGCTTCTCTTGCTTTGTACTTAACCACTTTCACCCCATAGCCTGGTACATCCTCTTGAGATTGTTAGCTGTGGGCTTGTAATCATAGCTTCCAAAAGCAGCTGATTTGGTTCCTGTTCTCTTTACTTTCCAGGAGCAAGTAGGTTCCATTAAGGAGCGGTATGACCACAGGCTCATGTTGAAACACCTCCCTCCCGAATTCAGCACCTTTCTTGACCATATTTCCTCTTTGGATTATTTTACAAAACCAGACTACCAGGTAACCATCTTTGTGAGTTCTGTATGTTGATTTTTCTTTTAGTCTTTGTTTTTACTCATTGTAGATTTAAGAATGTCAGAATTAAGTATGGAAGGTGCCTATAGTAACATTATTTAATACAGCCCGAGAAAAGTAAAGTTAACATGATGATGATGTGGGGTATATATGAATATGTATGTGAGAGAGAATGAGAGTCAGAGAGTCTTTTGGGTGAACTTACTTCATGATTAGATTTATTATGTAGCAAATTTTTCTGTTCTTGATGTGATTTACTTAATATATAGAGTAGTGGTTCTCAACCTGGGGGTCAAGTCAAATGATCCTTTCATAATCGTAGCAAAATTATAGTTACAAAGTAGTAATGAAAATAATTTTATGTTTGGGGGTCAGCACAACGTAAGGAACTATATTAAAAGTGTCACAGCATTAGGAAGGTTGAGAACCACTGATATAGAGCATGATGGTAATTCTTATTAATGACATACATTTTTTAGTAATTTCTTGACCAGAAGGAACTATACAGCTAGATAATATATCTGTTGAGGGCTGTCCATGCTGTTGGCTGGCAGTCAATAAATGCTACTAGCTCTGTCTGGGGCCACTGAATTAATTATGTAGTATAGCAGTTAACAAGCCTTTTAATGATCAGCTAGGTTTACTTTAAATTGAAATGCTCACGGAGAGAACCTGGTCAAAGCTTAATGCCAAAGCAGTTGTTCTATTGAAAACACAAATGAAGCCCCTGTTAGCATATAATTTTATCTTCATTGGACTTCGATGCTTGCTAATGGAAACATTTTGTTTTGTTTTTGAGACAGGGTTTCACTGTGTCACAGCCTTGTCTCTTCTGGAACTAACCCTTGTAGACCAGGCTGGCCTCAAACTCACAGAGATCCATCTGCCTCTGCCTCTGCCTCTGCCTCCCGAGTGCTGGGATTAAAGGTGTGTGCCACCAACACCGGCAACTAATTGAAGTTTTAAATTCTAAAGTGTTGCCAGTGTCCATACCTATCCCAAAGTGATTTCATTTTCATATATAGTGAAATTACAGCTGTTATTTAAGGTATGGACAGGCTATAAAGCAGAATCAACAAACCTTGGGTCTAAGACTTAAGTGAGTGAACTTGTCTTCTTTCCCATATGACTATTGATATAATAAACTGCACACAGCTTTGTCTACCAGATTGAGGCAATACATTGTATTAGAGTTGTTCTTGTGTGTGTGTTGTGTGTGTGTGTGTGTGTGTGTGTGTGTGTTTAAGACAGAATCTTAACTATGTAGCTCAGGTTGGCTTCAGACTTACAGTTTCCTTTCCTTAGCCCCCAAAAGTGCTGGGAATAGACTGTTGCCACTATGCCCAGCAAAAATGTCCTTCTTTAAAAAAAAAAAATCATATTTATTTATTTTATATATAATGGATGTTTTGCCTGCATGTTTGTCTGTGTCTCTGCCTGGTATCTGTAGAGGTCAGAAAAGGGTGTTGGATTCCCTATATTTTAGTTAGGATTAAAGACATTTTGTCATCACAGCCTGGCTGAGTACTGATAAATTTTTATTTATTAATTCACAAAATCCTAAATGAATCACATTTGCCTCTTACTTATTTTTATAATCACCAGCTAATATTTGAAGAGTCTAGTTAAATTGCTGTTACAAGTTTTTCATTTTGATACTAAGAGTCAGGTCTATCACTTAGTAACAGAACAAAGTATGGTTATTTTCTTTCGGGGGAATCATGGAGTAGGTATGATACTTTCTGTGTTTTATACACCATAAACAATCAGATTCTTTCCTGCTTTCTGGTCTTTCACAAACGAGTGGGAGAGAACAGGTGACAGGAAAGGGTAACTTAGCGAAATGTTGGTACAATTCATTGGAGTATTTTGGTGACTCAGTGTGGCATCAGTGTTCAAGAAGGTTTGAGCTTGCCAGGCGGTGGTGGCCAAATGAAGAAGAAAATTAAGAGGAAGAATGTTATAAGCAGATGCAAGAGTGTTTGCCTACTACATCCTTAAGTAAGAGAGGAATTGAAATAAGACAAGGGAGCTTAATATCACAAAAGGAGTAAATGGTTTGAAGTGAGTTGGAGAAACAGGAGGACGGATGCTGCAGGGCTTTATAGCTTTTAAAGAAGTTTGGATTTTATTATAAGTGAGCAGAAAGCCTTGAAAACAAACAAACAAAACAAAACCAGGGACATGGTGATCCTTGTCGTAGGACTTCTTTGGATCACCAGCCTCCAAATAATGACACAGAGACTTGTTATTAATTATTAAAACTTGGCCTTAGCTTAGTTTGTTTCCAACTACCTCTTAAAACTTAACCTGTTTCTGTTAATCTATGTTCTGACATGTTGCTTTTTACCTCTCCTCCATTCTGTATGCTAGACTTCCTCTGTGTCTTGTTGGCCACGCCAGGGAGAGGGAGAGGGAGACTTCCAGACTTTGTCTGGAAGTCCCACCTATGTTTTCCTGACTAGCTATTGACCATTCAGCTCTTTATTAAACTAATCAGGTGCCTTAAGAGGTAAAGCAAAATAGATATATCTTCACACAATGTAAACAGATATCCTGCAACAGAGCCTATTTGTGTTTCTTTTGAAATTTACATTCACATTTTTATGTAAGGAGTTGTATATACCAGGGTGCATATACAGATCAAAGGACAAAGTATAGAAGTCAGTTCTCTCCTTGTACCATGTGGAGTCTTGTTGGGTTTGGCAACAAGTATCTTTACCAGCTGAGCCAGTTTTACAAATTCCCTGTTTGTGTTTTAAGAGAAAAGCTTTTTCAGTTGCGTGCATTCCAGGAAGGCAAAGGAGACTTAAAAGTTGAGTTGGAAAAGTATTGAGGCAGTGCCTTGGAAAGAAGAGAAGGAATAGGTTGTCTAAATGTCATGTAAATTTCTTGATCATGTACCTCACTAGTCAGTTTGTTGTGGCTTTGCTAGGCAACTCTCAAGTGGTCTTTTGTGCATACAGGGTTTTTGTAGTCAGGGGAAGAACGAGTGTGGATGTTTGTCCAGGTCTGGGAATGATCTGCTACACTTTGGCTTACTAGCCAGAACTCAATCACACTGGTCACGTTCTACTTGTAGTGGAGTAGAAGGATGGTCTTCTGTGCCTAAGAGGATAGGGATAATGATGGCCTTGACTCGGATATAAGTAGTAGAAATGGAGAGAACTGGGTCATTTCTTGTCTCTCTACTCCTTTAACCTTTCCTCCTTTCATTCTCATTGTACTTGTATGATTGGGCTGTTTGGTCCCCGCCCTTATCCAAGCCTGTCTTAACTTTGCTTATCATGCTCAATTGAAAATTCAGCCAAGATGTTTACTTCTCCAGTCTGTTCCATTCCCTACTATTTAGGATGAATTTCTTGAGATGAACTTTTTATTTATTTTTTTTGAGACAAGGTCTTTCAATGTAGTCCTGAATATCCAGGAACTCTATAAAGACCGAGATGACCTGGAACTCACAGATTCCTCCCTGCCTCTGCCTCTCCCAAGTGCTAGTATGAACCATTGTTCCCAGCTTGAATTCAACTGTGAAAAGCCATACTTTATTATGTTAACAAATGCGCCCTTGAGAGTCATGGGCGTGTTTCTCAGTTCATGCAAGAAGTTAACATGAAAGGATGAAAATATAGCTTAACTCTCTAATGACCATTAAAAGTTAGAAATTTAGAAAAAAGTCCATAGCATGTATTTAAAAATCACCCTAGCTGCATGCAAAGCTCAGGAAAAAAGAAAAACACATGAAATAGCTTGATCACAATGACTGGTTTCTGGATATTATTATTATTATTATTATTATTATTATTATTATTAGTCACCTAGTTTCTGAAGAATGTTGTTATCCACAACAACAGTCTGGGAACTGTTGTGGGTCATCCTGTCCACAAAGAAAATTAATAACTAAAAGATGGAACTCATAGCAAAAAGGGAAAGACAGAGAAAACAAGAGCCTCTGCTAATAGATAACTCCCTGACTGGAAAGTACATTCTCCCAGCCGCTCAAGGACAAGGCTACTGAGCCCGCTGGTTCTTGAGAAAGAAAACCATTCCCTAACCTTGCAGGTGTGCTAAATCTCTGTAACCTAGGAAACCTTACTAACCATTCCAAGTTTTGAACTATCCCATGACCTTGCTTTTAGGCCTAGTGAAAATAACAGGCTAGCTTTGAAACTGGCCTTGTTAGCTTTGATGTAAATCCTATAAAAGCTATCTCAATTCTGCCCTCGAGGTCCTCAGTCCTTTACTTCTGTGTGGCATATGACTGTGGACCCCAGTGCACTTGGAATAAAAACTCCTCATGCTATTTGCATCAAGACCGCTTCTCATAAATGATTTGAAATGTCGTCTTTCCTGAATGGGAGCGTGTAATGATAGAAAAATATTCTTGGTGTTGAACAAAGAAACATGTGAACCAAATGAAAGTAACCAGCAGTTTCTTTTTGTAAACATGGTATGCCATGACCCAGGCCAGGCTAGCAAAGTAGCTCATGTAACTAAGATGGCCTCAATCTATAATTCCTAATGTAAGGGGATGATTGTTAGCTGTTTCTCATTGGCTGAGGTTTGACATCACAATCTACTCCTGATTGGCTAGTTTGGAAGGCATCCCAGAAGTCATACAGGAAAGGGGTAAATGGCCATTATGTTGTGGGAATACAGCAGGGTCTTTGGGTAAGCAAAAGTTTTACCAGTAGGGGAGATTAAAATATTTGAATTCATGCCTTTAATCCCAGCATTTAGGAGGCAGAGGCAGTTGGATCTTTGTGAATTGAGGGCCCCAATTGCCTACATAGCAAGTTCTAGGCAAACCAGGGTTACACAGTGAGAAATTTCTCAACAAACAAAAATAAAACAACAGCAAAAAAATTGAATTTCTTTTAAAGTTTTACAGGGTGGTGAGAGATTATTATTGGTCCTGGCAGGCTAGCCTCCTTTGATAGGGAATTTTTTTTTCTTACTATTCCTCCTTTTTATTATACATTTTCTATTTTTCCCTTAAAACTCTGCCAGCACATGCTGACTTTCTAAAGTCTCTAGAGACAGAAAGTGACCAGAGAGTGTTTGGTAAATGTGGTCTCTATGAGCCTCTGAAGGAGGCCTCTGACACAAGGATTTAACTTTTTGTTTGTTTTGTTTTTGAGACAGTGTTTCTCTGTGTACCTTTGGAGCCTGCCCTGGAACTCACTCTGTATACCAGGCTAGTCTCAAACTCACAGAGATCTGCCTGTCTCTGCCTCCCAAGTGCTAGGATTAAAGGCATGCTGGTTACTTTTCTTTATGGTCTTTTTACCCTAAACTAACTAACCAAATGTTACCTTCTATTTTTATCCACCCCAAACCGTTGCAGCTATACAATTGGGGCAGTGTTTGATTTGTCTTCTTCCAGCTGAATGGGGTTTGAACATAGCATTCAGGTTACTCCTCCACTAGGTCAGTCTAAAAGACCCCAGAGGTGCATCACATTGGTACTTACTTTCATGTAACAGTCATGTGTAAGGGAGAAAGGAAGTCCTTGACTGATGCCTGAAGAGAGATGTGAGAAAGTGGTAGAGGCAAGCAGAATAATCCAGAACAAAGGATATTTTTAAACGAACAAATCAGAGTTCATTAGAATCTCATGATGGGCTTATAAAGTGACTTGTTGATTGATGTCTCCTCTTTTTTCCTTGGGACTCCAAGGATAGTCTCTATAACACTAAACCCAGGATCTGCTTTCAGGCATTTTGATAGCTGTTGGCGTAGCCAGAATCATTGTTAAGTGCCTTCCAAGTTGCTTCAAGGAAGAGGAAAAGAAATTTAGTCATTGTCTAATTTTCTGATTAAAATAATAGTGATTTTTCTGACTAAAATGATAGTGGGCCTGTCTCTCCAGGCTGTAAGAACAGGCAGCAGTGAGCCAGGGTCTGAAATGTTCCATCTGAGCAACAGTTTTTTTTTTTTTTTTTTTTTTTTTTTTATGTCAAGGAGAAAATCACTAGTGATAAACATAACAATCATTTAGCCTTTAGTTACATTTTCATCTTGGTTATTAAGATCATGTGGGTGAGCTTTCTTTCAGCTTTCTTTTCCCTTCTGGAGAAACACTCAACCATCTTAATCTTCATAAATAAGTTCTTCTTTACTAAAAATATTTCCATATTTTCATTCTTCTAACATTTTCTTCTCTTTACCAGTTTTCTTTCTTCATACCATGAAGCATAAAAACTAAAAAAAATCCCATCTGTTGTGAGAATTTTCATCATGGGAGAAGACTGAGCAATGCCAATCAGTCCAGAATTCATTCACTCTCACAGGGTTTACCTGGAAGGACTAGTGAATTTATTTTACTGGGCTTACTTATAGCACATGAATGTGGAGTTACTGACAGAAGTGTGTGGGTGGCTTGAGAGCAGCTAAACTGGAAAGCAAGTCTTCACTGTGTGGATGATGGCTTCCTCCTTCTCCCTAGTCTTCCTCAGCATATATATCCTACCTCTTCTCTTCAAGGCCAGTGCAGTTAAGACAGATTTACATACATCTAGCTGGGAGGAGTGCTGGATATTCTCCAGAAGTATATTAGTCTTCTGTGAAGGAGTATCAACAAGCCAGCTATGAGCATCTCGAAACAGGCATTGCTGCTCTTGGCTCTGTGGCTTAGAGGTTAGTGCTGTGGAATACCACCTTAATAAAAGAAAGCCATACCCAAGCTGTGTGCTGTGCACTATGATAAAAGCCACATCTAGGCTACAAAGCCCTGTGGTGAGGATTGTGCTTCAGCTCCTTTGTAACCATCTGTAATCCAGTTCCAGGGCATCTCATGCTCTTTTCTGGCCTCCTTGGGTACCAGGCACACATACATAAATGCAGGCAATTGCTCATACACATAAAATTTAAATTAGAGAAAAACTTTTTAAAATTAAAAACAGAAATCTTGGAAACAGGTGATACTGTGTATCTTTTAATTGTCCTCTGTCTTGCTAGGTCTATTCTCCAGAGGGTGAGTGCAATACAATGTATTTTCAGTACATATGGAAAACATATGGCTGAATTACCCCAAAGAGCAGAGGAGCAAAAACTAAGTGCATTTCTTTACCCATTTCATCTACTTATGTATCACAAAAGAAAGTGCAGCACTTTCCTTTGCATTGAGTGACCTTTGAGTTAGCCAAGCCAACATTATACTCTGTGGGGTAAGTGCTTTATTGGTCTGCACTTATTCAGTTAGAATTCAGAAATCAAGATCCTCAGTGAAGTTCAGTACCTGCTACAAATAATTCCTGTTCATTTTCTTCAAATGGCAAGTTAAAATTTAATATGGAAATAAAACACTGAAAGCGATTGTATTTTGTGCTAAGAATAAGAGGATTAATCCATTGAGTCTGTGTTTGATGATGGCTGAAAACTAGCATTAAACATCTTTGTGGGTTGTATGTGAGTAGGTATTGAACCAAAATACTTTAGAAAATACATTTTAGTTAAATTTGTTATTAAAAATCATATATAACCCTTTCTCAAAAAATCATACATAAACATTTAGAAATTACAGAGAAATAGAAAATTCATCAGAATCTCATTTTGATTGCCCTTTCTGTGCCTTGAATAATGTGCTTTAAAAATTCATTTTATTGTATGTCCCAGTTTAACAAAAATGAACTGCTTTAAACCGTGGTATAATGACTTATACCACATATACATTATAGCACACATGTGAAGGTGAGGATGCAATTGTATCACTAGAGCCAAGGTAAATGATAAATGGGTGTTTACTGGGGACAATTGCACCGAAAAATACAGAGTGTTTTCCTGCTCTTCCTACCAGATCTGCTGACCCAGCAGAAAGAGAACACAAAGGAAAGCCAAGCCTCAAGCTCCTCTCTTTCCTCTTAGGTCCACCTGAAGCCACACCCAAAGGGTTGTGGCCACCGTTTGAGGTCCACAGACCAGATGCCTATACACATGTATGATAATAATAATATTAATAAAAAGCTTAGAAAGAACTCAAGAGAACCTTGATTTAGAAAATCCTGGATCCCAGTCCCCTTGCTTTCCTCTCCAAGTTTCCCTTCCTCCTTCCAGCCCTTTCTTTCTGCCTCCTTCCTTTTCCTTTTTTCCCCCCTTCTGCAGTGTGGTCTGAAGAATCAGATTCAGGGCCCTAACATATTGGAGAAAAGTACTATGCAGCTGAGTAACATGCCCAGCCATTCTTGTTTTCTGTAACCCTGTACTTCTGGGCTATATTTTCTGGGGTATGCTGGGCTATAACATAGGTAACCTACATAAACAAAATTAGGATCAAAATAATTTCCAAGATTTTATAATCATACCTTTTCTAATTCCTCTCCTCTCTGTTTCCTTTTCTATATAATTTTCCTTTATTTAATTAAGTGAAAGTTAAAGTATTTCTTCTTGAAATATTTTTAAAGTTACTGTTATCTGTAAGGCAGTGTTTTAGTTCCTGAAGAAGCAGTGATGAATGAGATCAGATATGCACTGGCTTCTTGGGGTTTACAGTAGGTTAAAAGACAAAGAAAAATTAAGTACATCAGAATGATGTAGACTTATGTGATAGCGTTGATACTCCTGGTGAAAGCATGCTCTCTTAGGTTATTTTTTAGAACACTACATATATTCTAGGGTTTGGGTTTCACTGGCTACTCCTAACCTTTGTTTCCTTGGTATAGTCATATTCTTTACACCCACTTACTAGGTTACCGCAGGTCTTTGTTCTCAGACCTCTTTGCTAAGGTCATTAAGTGAAATTACCTGGCCCTATGACTGTAAATATTGGTATTTATATGCTAATGGCTCATCAGCAGAATATCCCAGTCACCAGCTCACCACTTTCCATTTCACTACAATTTACCCAATGGCTCAGGACAGAAGTCTAACTTAGCCTTATTCTCACAGTTTTCATTGGCTTTGTTGGCAGGGTCTTTCATCTCTTTGAAGTCATATCCAAATCACTACTGTAACCATGATGATTTAGCTAACAAGTAGCCTCCTAGCTGGTTCTTAGCACCTTTACCATCCCTGTCTCTGGCATCTGTTGTCTGTTTAATAGCCAGAGTCATTTTTTTAAACCTCAAAGATGTGGGCAAATGCTCCAGTGAGAAGTGCTGGGTTCAAGCCTGGGCAGGAACTGTAAAAATGAATTACAGAGGTCAAGATACTTGCAGAGACAATATTATAGATCTTCTGTAAACAAAATATTTCATACAACTATACACCGGTACCACAATCAACATTAGTTAATTGTCATCCACATAATCCCAGCTTGTTTCCCTTCTTTGAACTGTGAATTTTGAAGGAAATCATCTTATAAACCCTCTTTGTGGGTCTGGTATGCTTTCTGCTGTAGAAGATGTTAAGTTTATTACTGTTGGCTCACTCTAGCTTGTTTCTTTGTTGTTTAGCTTCTTACCTCCGTGTTTGACAACAGCATCAAGACTTTTGGAGTGATTGAAAGTGACCCTTTTGACTGGGAGAAGAGTGGAACTGATGGCTCCCTAACTACCACCACCACCTCTGCCACCCCTCAGCTGCACACCCGCCTGACCCCTGCTGCAATCGGGTATGTCCTGCACAGCTCAATGAGTTCTGCCTGTTCTGAATGCAGGAATTCCCGCTAGTCCATCCCAAGCCCCTCAAGATGTGAAATGCTAAGACATGTAGGAAAACCTTGAGCATTCCCTTAAGTTAATCTTTTTCTTACTTAGGCTTTTGTAATTACTTAATTCAGAAAATGCTAATGGTTCATTCTGTGAAATGGAAGCTTAGAACATGTTGATATCAAAGGTACAGTGGGTTTTCCTCAAAACAGAGAGAGCATTATTTGTATTTCTAAAGGATATAGATGGGGGTGTGTGTGGCTGGAGAGATGGCTCAGTGGTTAAGAGCACTGACTGCTTTTCCAGAGGTCCTGAGTTCAAGTCCCAGCAACCACATGGTACTCAAAACCTTGGGATCTGATGCCCTCTTCTGGCTTAAGGTCATACATGCAGATAAAGCACTTACATAAATCTTTAAAAAAAAAAAAAAAAAAAGAATATATATATATATATATATATATATATATATATATATATATATATATGGGAACCTCAAAGAATGAGTTATAATTATTCTTTGTTTGTTTATTTGTTTTTGGTTTTGAGACAGCTTTCTCTGTATAGCCCTGGCAGTATAGAACTTACTCTGTAGACCAGGTTGGCCTGGAACTCAGAGATCTACCTACCTCTCCTCAAAAGCTGGGATTCAAGGCTTGTAAAAAAAAAAAAAAAAACTACCACACAGAATAATCATAATTATTTCTAACTGTACTGTGTTTAAATTTCATGGGAACAAAATGTGTAGACTTATGTAGAATATTAGGAATTGTTATGATATGCTTCCATCTATATTCTTTTTCTTATTTTCTGGGTTTATTTGTTTGAGACAGAAGTTTTGCTCTATAACTAAGGTAAACTGAACTTGTAATCCTTCTGTCCTCACCCTTCTGAATCCAAAATTACTCTAGTGTACCCCACTATGCCCAGCTATTTCCATGTGTGGAGGGGTTTTTTATGTTTATGTATATGGGTGTTTTGTCTCCATGTATGTATATGTACTATATGAATGCTGGGTGTCCATAGAAGTTAGGAGAGGGTGTCAGATTCCCTGAAACTAGAATTATAAGCCACCATTGGGAGCCAGGAGCTAAACCCAGATCCTCTGCAAGGATAAATGCTCTTAACTGCTGAGTCATCTCTCCAGCCATGTTTTATTTAATGTTTTTCTCTTTTAATTATATTAGATAACTTTCCTTTTGAGTTATTTGTTTGTTTTGGGTTTTGGTTTTTCAAGACAGGGTTTATCTGTAGCCTTGCCTGTCCTGGAATTCACTATGTAGATCAGACTGGCCTCAACCTCAGAGATCTGCCTGCCTCTGCTTCCCTAGCGCTGGGACTAAAGATGAGTGTGCACGTGCGCGTGCACCCCCCCCCCCCACCGCCGCTGAGTTTTTTTTTTTTTTCAGGCAGGGTTTCACAATGCATTCCATCTGGCTTTGAATTCATTGTGTAGCGTACAGGGTTTGAATCTGTGGATCTTCCTGCTTCAGCCTCTTGACTCTGGGGTCCTAAGTGTGTGGCATCATGCTTCTTTTTGTTGTCAGACCATGAGCTGATGATAACCTCATACTGACTGGTCAGGCTACATTCCTTACCACCTTCCTTCTTCCTTTCCTTTTCTTTTCTCTCTCTTTCTCTCTCTCTCTCTCTCTCTCTCTCTCTCTTTTTTTAGACTTATTACTATTTTATGAGTGTTTTCCTTACATGTTCTAGACCCCATAGCCTGGTGTCCACAGAGTTTAGAAGAGGATGGCATATCCCTTGGAACTAGAGTTACAGATGAGTGCAGGCCAACATGTGGATGCTAGGAACTAACCCTGGGTCTTCAGCATGATCATCAAGTGCTCTTAACCTTTAAGCCATCTCCCCGGGCCCTACTTTCTCTTTTTTATTTTCATCTTTCCCTCCCTCCCTTCCATTTCCCCCCCCAACATGTGTGTGCTGCCTAATGATCTACTAACTAAGCTAATTCCTCCCCTCCCCTTTTGTCTTCATATCCCTGAACATGCCATGATTTTCTTAGTGAGGAATTATTTCTCTCCTTTTGTCAAACTCTCGATTAAGAGAGTTTAGGAAAAGGAAAAAGAGAAATAGGGAAAGAATAAAAAATCAGGGATAAATACAAAGGAGAAGTCTGAGTCATGTGGAAGAGAAACTGTATAGGTTCCTGTAATTACAGCCCTGGCTGTCTTGGAACTTGCTCTGTAGACCAGGCTGTCCTTGAACTCCCAGTGATCTACCTGCCTCTGCCTTTCAAATGCAGGGACTAAAGGTGTGCACCACCATGCCTGGCAAGGGTGTCTGTTTTTGCTGCTCACAGTAATGGCATTGAGGGTTTTTTTTTTTTTTTTTTTTCTTTTCCTGTGTTTAGATAGTTCAGGTTACTTGTTAGAAATTTCTTTGTATGCTAAATATTGTACTCAGCCAGAAATATTTTTTAAAATACTAGTATTGGGGTTGGAAAGATAGCTCAGCAGTTAAGAGCACTGGCTGCTTTTCCAAAGGACCTGGATTCAATTCCCAGCATCCACATGGCAGCTCACAACTGTCTGTAACTCCAGTTCCAAGGGATCTGACACCCTCACACAGATATATATGCAGGCAAAAAGGTACAGGAAAAAATAAAAATAAATCATGTAAAAACAGCATTAGTATTTATGGAGCATAGAGTTATCAAAGGACTTTTGAGTTAGCCTCTCATGGACCAGTAGGCTGAGTGATGATAATTATATAAATAGGACCTGGAATTCATTCAAAAGAAATCTATGTAGCCAAGCATGATGGAGTACTCCTGTAATCCCAGGATTTAGGATAAAAGTAAGACCTATATTTTCTGTTCTTCTCATGTAGATATGTATGAAGTCTGTAATTTCAGAATTTCTGACTTTCTCCTTTGTTTTCCTTAGGGCCTTAGTGAACTTTATAATGAAAAACAGCATACATAGTTTGTTTCACTTTTGGGTTTTTTTTTTTTGGGGGGGGGCATCTTAGACTCTTTTGCCAGTTGGTTTTGATTTCTGTTTCTGTGTTTTTTGTTTGGTTTGGTTTAGGGATTTTCATTTTGTTGTTGTTTGTTCTTTTTGTTGTTGTTGTTGTTCTTTCTTTGACAGGGTTTCTCTGTGTAACAGCCCTAGCTGTCCTGGAATTCCCTTTGTAGACCAGGCTGGCCTCAAAATTACAGAGATCTGCCTGCCTCTGTCTTCCAAGTGCTTCGATTAAAGACATGTACCACCACCACCCCTTGTTCATTTGTTTTAAAGAGTAAGAGAAAGGACATAAAATTAGATGGATAGGAAGGAGTTCTAGGAGGTGAAAAACATGATCAAAAATATATTGAATGAAAAATTTTAATAAATGAAACCATAGTACACATTTTATATAAAAAAAATCATCTAACCCCTATTTATTTCCTTATATTCCTTATACTTCCTATGTATAATTGTGTTTTAGTTACAAAAATGTTAAGGAATAGAAAATTTTATTTTATTGAAGAAAGCTTCATGGAAAGTAGAGCAATGTTTCTGACTTTTAAAGACGTCAGCAAGGGCAGTGGTGGGACATGCCTTTACTCTAGCACTTTGGGAGCAGAGGCAGATGGATCTCTGAGTTCAGGCCAGCCTGGTCTACAGATTGAGTTCCAGGACAGCCAAGGCTGCAAGGTAAAACCCTGTCTTGAAAAACAAAACAGAAACAAACACCCCCCCCCTTAAAAAAACAAGTTTTATGTTTTAACTCTTAATTATATCGTCTGTCTCATGGTTACTTTTTGATTCTGGTCTTTTGAAATTGTCTGTTTTCCTTCCCTCGTGTTTCAGAATTGCAAATGCCACTCCCATCCCAGGAGACTTGCTCCGAGAAAATACAGATGAAGTATTTCCAGATGAACAGCTTAGTGATGGGGAGAATGGTATCCCTGTTGGTGTATCACCAGATAAATTGCCTGGATCTCTGGGGCATGCTCGCCCTCAGGAAAAGGATGTCTGGGAAGAGATGGATATCAACAAGAACAAGATAAAGCTTGGAATTTGTAAGGCACGTATTTCTTGCATTTCTTGCGCAGGAAGTGATCTCTTCCTATATTTACTACTTTTCTCTTACTGCTATACAGTTTAGAGTGTGTGTGTATGCAAAGGTCAGAGGACAACCTGCAGGAATTCTTCTCTCTATCATGGTAGTCCTAGAGATCAAACCCTGGTCATCTCCATTTCAGCTTTCCGTAATTACACCAGGGAAGAGCCCCCAGACTGGTTATCCAATACTAGGTACTCAACCCTGAAATTGTATACATACAAGTAACTTCATATGGACTGAGCAGGTTGGTTGGAAAAACAAATAAAACATTTTTTTTTTAATTTTCTAAAAACACATGTAATCATTTGTTAGTATTTTAGAGGCTTCAGTGATTTCTTCCATGTATAATATTTTAAATATTTTTCATGTTTCATTTTTATGTTTTTTTTTTTCTAGGCTGCTACTGAAGAAGAAAATAGTCATGGTCAAGTCAACGGTGTTCACAATGCTCCAAGCCTTGGCTCACCAATTCGTGTCCGATCAGAGACTACTCAGCCAGACAGGGATGTTCCATTAGTAAGGAAGTTACGCTCCATTCACAGCTTTGAGCTAGAAAAACGTTTGACACTAGAGCCAAAGCCAGATACTGACAAGTTTCTTGAGACCTGGTATGTAATGTATCATTTTTCTATCATATTAAGAAATTCTTGTATTTCTATAATGCTAACTCCATTAAGCTTCCATTTGTTCATATCATAGTTATATATCATCTGTTTTTTTTTTGGTTTCTTTGAGACAGAGTTTCTCTGTGTGGTCCTAGCTGAACTGTATTTTCTGTGACTTTGTTAGAAAGTGAACTCTTTGAGGCAACAGTGTAGAGGTAGAACGGGCACAATAAAGGCAACATTAGACAGGAATGAGGGGAACTCACAAAAAAAAGATTCAGTGGGAAAATACGTAGTAATAAGTTTATCACTGTGCCCTATAGCACTCACATCTCCCAAGAAAGAAGAAAAGAGAAAGTTTAGAGATCTGTATATACATACCATAATGATTGTTGCTTTTCATCAATTAGGTACATTTTCTCTATAACAAATTTTGGTAATAAGATGGAAATGAAAATGTAAGATTTGAGGTGTATTTACAATTAATAAAAGGCTTTTAAAAAATTACAATGTATGTGATGATGCACACTATGGTTCCAACTTGGAACTGTTAGCAATGAAATGTTCATTTAAGAGAAGCCATGGATTTGGGTTGGGGGTAGAGTGCCTGCCTAGCATATAAGAGGCCCTGTGTTCAGTCCCCAGAAAGACATAAAACTTTGTGTTGTAGTAGATGCCTGTAAGTCTCAATTCTAGGAAGGTAGAGGCAGGAGGATCAGAAATGCAATGTATATGTTATTACATATACAGATATGATCAAAAGGATGGATAAGACTTGAACACTGCTTTAACCATTTGAACTACAGCTAACATGGGAAAGAGCAGGAATAGCAAATAGAGAACATCCTCAACCCTGTGAAATTCTGAGTTTTTCATACGCTCTCATCACTCTTTTGTAAGAATGGTGGAGTTTATCAATATATAATAAAGTTTCTCTAAGGACAATTAACTTCTTTCTGTTTCCTCAAGCATGGAGAAAATGCAGAAAGATTCCAGTGCAGGAAAGGAATCTGTTCTCCCTGCTCTTCCTCATAAGCCTTGTGTTCCTGTTGTGTCCCGCACTGACCACATCTGGCATTATGATGAAGAATACCTCCCTGAGGCTTCCAAGCCTGCCTCTGCCAACACTCCAGAGCAGGCAGATGGTGGCGGCAGCAATGGATTTATAGCTGTTAACTTAAGCTCTTGCAAGCAGGAGGTTGATTCCAAAGAATGGGTGATTGTGGACAAGGAGCAAGACCTTCAGGATTTTAGGACAAATGAGGTGTTAGGCCATAAAACAACTGGAAGCCCTTCAGATGAGGAGCCTGAAGTACTTCAGGTCCTTGAAGGATCACCTCAAGATGAAAAGATCCAAGTAGGTCCTTGGACTGACAACCACCACTTAAAGGAAAGCTCAGGTGTGGTCTTAGCACTTTCTGCGGAATGTCCTGCAACAGCTGCTTCAGAACAGTACACAGACAGGCTAGACCTCCAGGCTGGAGCTGCTAGTCAGTTCATCACAGTGACTCCCACAAGTCCAATGGAGGCACAAGCAGAAGGACCCCTGACTGCGGTAAGAAACTGCTTCTGTTATTATTTTGTGTTGTCTGCTCAACGAACATGCTACTAATAAGAGAGAAGACTGAAGCTAGAGAGATGACTCAATAAGTAAATTATTCGCTATACATACATGAGGACCTGAGTTCAGATACTCGGGACCACATAAAACCCAGTCATGGCAGTATACATCTGTGACTCCAGCACTGAGGGGTCAGGGACAAATGGATCCCTGGATCTCAGTCTAGTCAAATCACTGAGTTCCAGATCTAGCGAGAGATCCTGTCTCAAAAAATAAGGTGTGTCCCCACATGCAAGCACATTCCCACAACTCTATACACACATACACTGATAAAAAAGAAAAGGCTATCCAGCATGATTGGTCACAACTATAATGTCAGAATTTAGGACGCTGTATAAAGAGGACCACTGTAAATTCAAGCCTAGTCTTGGGTACTTAGCCAACCTGGGCTACAGAATGCAGCCCTGTGTATAAATAAATGAATAAACAAAAGCAGAAAAGAGAAGGTGGGTTAGTTGATCAGTTAAGATTGTACAATAATTAGAGGCTTAAGTTTAGCAAATGGATACATGTAAACAATTAGTATTTATACTAAATTCTATAGTCAGCCTGCAATAAGGAAAAAATAAAGCCAGGAGTGATGGCACTTAACTTTAATCCCAGCACTCAGAAGGCAGAGGCAGCTGAGTCTCTGTGAGTTCAAGGCCAGCCTGGTCCACAGAGTAAGCTCCAGGACAGCCAGGGCTACATAAGTAAGCTCCAGGGTAGCCAGGGCTACCCTGTCTTGGAAAAAAAAGAAGAAAATAGTAATTTAAGTGAGCTTTTCTTTGTTCTGGCAAGCTTAATACATGAAGTATCACTATAACCTAATTTTGCAATGACATTTATGATTAGACTACAAGTTCTGCCTATTCATGTGTATACAAATTATTATAAAATTTTTTATCATCTTGAAGAATTTCATTATGCATCTGCTAAGAAAGACCTGTGTTAAACTATTTGTAGTAGTTTGTTCTGAATATACTGTTAACAGGTCTGAGCCTTTTTTTGAAATCTCTACCCAGAAATTTCTCATGTTTTACGTTTCTCTTATTTGTGAGATGCCCACTATAGAAGATGTAGAATCTCGAGCCTGGCTTTCAGAGCTTCTACTTTTCTAAGTCTGGGATAGAATGAACATCATTTTTAAGTGTTTGAAGGCAGTTGTGACCAAGTTCTCTGAAAAGGACCCTTTTGGAGGAACAGTACTGCCAGCTCTCACCCCTGGGCAAGCCACTGTTGAGAACCAGCTCTCACCCTGAGCATGCCACTGTTGAGAACCAGCTCTCACCCTGAGCATGCCACTGTTGAGAACAGTTGCCTCTTCAAGGCAGACAGTGGCTTGGTGAGCAGACGGTGCCCCAGAAAAGCCAGCCTCAGGCAGTAAGGAATGCAGCAGTGTCAGGCACCTGCAAGCACACTCGCTCTGACACAGATGACAGATACCAGGCTTCCTTACATTTTTATAGTCATTAGGAAGCTTTCCTTTCTAATATAATAGCCTCAGCATTGTTCCCCAAATTAAAAAAAAAAAAAATTTTAAACACATTGTGTTTAAAACACTTGGAAAAAAGCCAGGCAGTGGTGGTGCACGCCTTTAACCCCAGCACTCAGGAGGCAGAGGCAGGTAGATCTCTATGAGTTTGAGGTTAGCCTGATCTACAAGAGCTTGTTGCAGGATAGCCTCCAAAGCCACTGAGAAACCCTGTCTCTATACTGGTGAAATTTCACTTTATGAGCAATGTCAATGCTACAAAATAGAGAAATAGATTACTTTTTACTTCTTTTCCAATCAGAATTTAGTTAATTGATCTTCCCTCCCATCCCTTCCAGGACTGCCTTGTACAATTTTATAGGTTGTTTGTGGCATAGAGAAGACTAGCCCAAGGGTAAAATAAGCTAGGGCTAATATCTAGTCCAACCTGAGTTCTGTTTTGTTAAGGATTTCCCCCTATTCCCCTGAATTGTTTAGGATTTTAGCTCATGCTTGTAAATCCCAGTACTCAGGAAACACAGGAAGGAGTATTGCTGCATATTCCAAGCTGGCCAAGCTACAGAGAAACTCACTATGTAGACCAGGCTTGGTCTTGGACTTGATCTGCCTCTTCCCAAGTACTGGGATTAGAGGCATGTGCACTGCCCCCTCCTCAGCCTATACTGTTTTTTGTTTTGTTTAAATCTATGTGTATGAGTGTTTTGTCTACATATATGTCTGTGTCTCATGTGCATGCCTGGTACCCAAGAGATCAGAACAGGGTGCCAGGTCCCCTGGTGTAGAGTTACAGACAGCTGTGAGCTGCCATGTGGGCACTGGGAACTGAATATAAGAGCAGCAAGCACTTTTGACCTCCAAACCATCTCACTAGCCCCCAAAATGTAATTTTTTTTTTGTGACAGGGTTTTTGTGTGTAACCCTGACTGTCTTGGCAGTCCTAGAACTTGTTCTATAGATCAGGCTGGTCTCAAACTCAAGAGATAGAGATACACTTATCTCTGTGCTGGCGTTAAAGGTGTGTGTTGCTACCACCTGCCAAAATGTAAATTTTTAACAGGTATTTGTAGCTTAATTAATTTTGGGCAGTGTAACAATCAATACATTATTCTACTACTTGTATCAATTCTAAATTGTCCTTGTTCATGGGTCAATATGAGATATAGATGTTATATAGCTTCCATATTATTAACAAAATAAAACAAAAAACCAGACTATTTGGTACAAGTATTTAATTTCTGAAGGTTTTTATTATACTTGAGCCAATTCTTTTTTTTTTTTTTTTTTTTTTTTTTTTTTTTTTTTTTTTTTTTTTTTTTTTTTTTTTGCATATAGAGTATTTTTTATTTAATTTTATATAACAAAGTCTAATTAAGTGAAAACAAACATTTATACACAATATTTGGGAATTTGGGCGTCGTTCTTTCCAAACTACTTCCTGCTGGTAAGGGGCGCTGTCTTGGGGGATTCGAAGAAGATTCAGATATCCTAGCTGTAGTCTGTAGGGCTGTTTTGTCCAGCTGTTTGGAATGTAGGATCAGCTTGTACTCTGTTTCAGGCGGTCTGGTGTGATCAAACCACATTAGTCTGGAAGGAATCCACATCTTTTCATTTTCTGTGGAAACAAAAATAGAAATACTTTTCCCCAGTAACTTGTTCTTCAACTTAAATTTTGGAGTCAAAGCGTTTTTTTTTTTTTTAATTATTTTACATGTCGATCCCAGTTCCCCCTCCCTCCCTCCCTCCCTCCCCCCAAGCCCTCCCTCCCTCCTTCCCTCCCTTTTGCCCTCTCTACCCTCTCCCATGCACTCTAAACACCCTCCCCTCCCAACCCCCCACCACAATACAATATGTAGGGGAATGCCATCCAGTTGGGGTCATGTAGATCTGACAGGTCCTGTGAAGTAGGGACTAGGGCTTCTCTCCTATCTCTAGAATAAGGCAGTTATCCCTCCATGGGGGATATGTTTGCAAAGTCCTTTTGTGCACCAGGGATACATCCTGGCTCCACTGTCTGAGGTCTCTTAGACTGTTGAGCCAATTCTTAACATGATGTAACTAAAAATTAATGTTGTTCTTCCTGAACTATATGAATTAATTCCATTTGGTAGTTTCCTTGATTATAATAAATAAATAAATAAAACTTCTATACTCATCAGTATGTAGGCTTTAATATTGGGCATTAATAAAATTATGAGAACTGAAGGAAACAAATCACTCAGAAAGGCATGGGCGACACAAGTAAATAACAGGAAGCGGAGATATAGAAGCAATGTGCCTTCGCTGGGCATGGCGGTTCTGCTCTTGCCTCTAATCCCAGAGACTGAAGCATGAAGATACTATGCACTAACAGTTATCAATTATGGAAGTTCAAGGTATGAAAGATGGAGAAGTCATTGTTTAGTCTATAGGTAACATGTTTTGTCTTTGAACTTCAAGGTTAAGGTGTTTACAGCTACACTTTGAATTAGTTTTCTCTTCTCGATCCTGGGTTTTCTCTTTTCATCCTGTCAGTGTTTGGCAGACTCACTTTCCCAGACCCGGGCTGTGGTGTGCATGACTTTCAAATCCTCCTGCCCTAGCTGGGCGGTAGTGGTACACACCCAGAGAAACCCTGTCTCAAAAATCTAAACAAACAAACAAATAAATAAATAAATAAATACCTCAGGAGTCTATAGTTCTTTATTTTTATTTTAACAAAGTCTGCCTCCCCCTCCCTTCATAGATAGGGTTTCTCTGTAGTTTTGGAGCTTATCTTAGAACTCGCTCTGTAGACCAGGCTAGCCTCAAACTCACAGAGATCTGTCAGCCTCCGCCTCTCGAGTGCTAGGATTAAAAGCCTAGCCATATTTTAACAAAATCTTACAGATCAGGATGACCTGGAGCTCAGATTCCTCAAGCCTCAACCACCCAAGAGCTGGAATTACAGATATATATCACCATGCCTGTCCTATTTAAGAATTACTTCATATGTCAGATGATTTCTGCCTAGGTTGGTCTGCAGGATTTACATGCGTGTAAATCTAATTATGTTCCTGATACAAAGTGTTTTGTTTTCCTAGGACTTCATGGTCTTCATTAAGTGATCAGAGTTTATGCATTCACATAAAACTGACTTTAGTGTAAGGATAATAGAATTTAACTTACCACAGACCACCCATTTACAAGAGAGTCTGGGCCAAGCACAGAGAAGCTCTAGGGAGTTTTTCCTTCTGTGCAGCTCCTTTGAGGAGAACTCAGAAGCCTTCATTTTTATTCACAGTTGCTTATTTAGTATGAGTTGAGAAGATCGGGTAAACATCTTCATCTGAAGTATTACATCTCAAATTATACATCTGATTGATATCTCATATAATTAGATGTTTTATATTTTTCTCTCCGCTTCTCCAGATTACAATTCCTAGACCTTCTGTGGCATCAACACAGTCAACTTCAGGGAGCTTTCACTATGGTCCACAACCAGAGAAGAAAGATCTTCAACCCTTGGAGCCCACTGTGGAACTTTATTCTCCAAGGGAAAACTTCTCAGGCTTAGTTGTAACAGAGGGTGAACTTCCTAGTGGAGGAAGCAGAATGGATTTGGGACTTCAGATAGATCACATTGGTCATGACATGTTACCCAACATGAGAGACAGTGACACATCTCAAGACTTGGGACCAAAAGACCTTCCTGACCATAATAGATTAGTTGTGAAAGAATTTGAAAATCTCCCTGGAGAAACAGAGGAAAAAAGCATTCTTCTGGGTTCAGATAATGAAGATGAGAAGTTAAGTAAAGGGCAGCATTGTGTTGAAATCTCTCTCCCAGGAGATTTAGTAACTACAGAAAGGGATCAGTCAGCTACCACAGAACCTGTTGATGTATCAAAGACACAGAATTTTAGTGTGGTGCCAAATCAAGACAAAAACCATGAGATAATGAAGCTTTTGGCAGTTGGAACTTCAGAAATTTCTCAAGTCATTGACCCACATGCTGAAGGGCAGATAGGCCAGGTGGCAGTAATGCAAAAAAACAAACTGTTTAAGGATGCTGACATTAAGAGTGAAGACTTGCCAGGACATCAGGGAGACCTCTCTACTTTTTTGCACCAAGAGGGAAAGAGAGAAAAGGTTGTCCCTAGAAATGGAGAGCTATATCATTGTGTCCCAGAGAATGAGCATGGTCCTCCCACCCGGAAGGACATGCTTCGGTCATCCTTTGTAACCAGACACAGCCGGATCCCTGTTTTAGCACAAGAAATAGACTCAACTTTTGAGTCATCCTCTGCAGTCTCTGCAAAAGAAAAGCTTCTACAGAAGAAAGCCTACCAGCCAGAACTAGTCAAACTTCTGGTAGAAAAAAGGCAGTTCAAGTCTTTCCTAGGGGACCTCTCAAGTGCCTCTGATAAGCTAATAGAGGAGAAATTAGCTGCTGCCCCTGTTCCCTTTTCTGAGGAGGAAGTCTTCACTCCCTTTTCCAGATTGGCAGTAGATTCCCACCTGAGTAGATCAGCTGAAGATGGCTGTCTGTCACCCATCATCTCCCAGTCTAGAAAGAGCAAGATTCCAAGGCCAGTTTCCTGGGTCAGCACAGATCAAGTTAATAGCTCAGCTTCACCTCAGTTCTTGCCTCGGCCACCACCAGGAAAGCCACCAATCAGGCCTGGAGTAGAAGCCAGGTAATGCTTCATGTTTTCTATGTGTATAGTGTGTACTAATGTTTTCAAGTGTGCTTTACTGTGTGGTAGACATCAGTAGTAGCATTTCTTCTGAGCGTGTTTTCTTTTCTCCCTTCCACAAGCATTAGGGCAAGTACAGATTGACCCAGACTAAAGCACTTTTTCTCCACTGTGGCAACATAAAATTTACCATCTTACTCATTTGAAGTGTATTTTCAGTGGCATTAACTCTTGTTAATTTTGCCATGCGACCATCACTTGTTGATTTTCTTTATGGTTTTGGTCGTTATAAACACTTTGAGAAGTAATAGAATCTATATATAGTATTTGTTCAGTTGTAGCTGACTCATTTGACTTAGCACAAAGTCATTAAGATCATTCATGTTAGCATCAAGCAGAATTTTCTTCCTTTTAAAGATAGAAGGGGACTTTTGGAGTTTATTTTACAGTGGTCTTATAACAATCTATTTATTTACATTTGTGTGTATGTATCTGAGCATGCCTTTGCAGATGCAGAGATCAGTGGACAGCTTGTTGGATTGGTCCTCTCTTTCCACCTTGTGGGTCTCAGGGATCCACTCAGGCTGTCAGGTTGACAAGCACCTTTCCTGCTGTACCACCTTGCTAGCCCTGTCTTAAAGCATATTGTTCCTTCTTTATTGTATGCCTTCTTTCCTGTCTATCTGGTGTGTGTGTTAAGACAGTAAATTCCTTTATTTTTCCAATTGTGTTTATTATGCTCATTTTCATTGTGGTCAACTTGAAGTACACAGACTGTCTTGTAGTTCCAGCATTGTAATTGAGTTTTTGGCAGTGTAATACCAAAATATTCCACTGTGCCCCTTTAAGTTTCCATTCCCATTCCTTTTACTTGGTCAAATCATAAGATTACATCTTCATTTTATGTCCCCAAACATAAGCTTGTAATTGTTTAGTTTTGCTTTTGAGATAAGCGCTTATATAGATCAAATTGGCCTTGAACTCCTGATTCTCCTGAACTCCTGATTCTCCTGCTGGGATTATAGATGTGCAATAGTCACATTGTACTTTAAGAACTAGATGTTTTATAAATGTATTAGTCTCCTAAATCCTTCAGAAAACAAAAAGTTATAAATAGCTGTGAGAATAATAATCACTTTTATAATTGACTTAAATCATTTATCTTTATTCAGATCTCGATCATTTCTCTATATGGCTTCAAGTTATTGTCTAGTATCCTCTCATTTCAACCTGCAGTAACTTCAGCCAGCATTGCTATGGCAGGTCTGGTAGTAACATAAGTAGATATGTAGTATGGTGGGTATTGAGCCCAGAGCCTCATTCATGCTAAGTACAAACCTCTCATTTATATTGCCAAGCCCCTACCTCAGCTTTTTAACTCACAGAATCTTCATTTCTCCCTCATCTTTGAAGGATACTTTCTTAACACAAGATTATTGGTTGGCAGTTCTCTTAGAGCTTTAAATATCTTGGTCCTCAGACCACTGCCCTTTGAGCTCCAGAAGTTCTGATGTTTCAGAAAAGTTTTTGAGGACTCCCTGTATTATTTCTTGGTTCTCCTAAGAATCCTTTGACAGTTTGATTGTGTCTCGGTTTGATGGTCTGTGATTAGGTAGCTTTGGAGTCATTGAGCTCACTGGATGTTATATCTTGTCTTTAATTGAACTTGGGGAGTTTTCAGCTGTTCTTCGGGTAGTCACTTTTTTTCTCTTGTCCTTCTCCAATTCCTGTGGTGCCACATCAGTCTGCTTGCTAGTCCCTTACTCTCTTTAATCTTTTGTCTTTCTATTATTTAGGTTCAATATCAGTTTTCCTATCTTACTGTTTTCTGCTTCTTCTCACTGTTCAAATATGCTTTTAAAAAATTGTGTGTGTGTGTGTGTGTGTGTGTGTGTGTGTGTGTGTGTGTGTGTGTGTGTGCTCGCGCGCGCAGGTGCCCACATGCACTGTAGGTCAACTTGAGGGAGTTGATTCTTTTTCTTCCACAAGTAGGTCCTGTGGGATGACCTTAGGTTAGCAAACTTGGAGGTAAATCACCTTTCCCCACTGAGTCATCTCTCCGGCCTGTCCTAACTTTAATATTTAGCTTCCTAAAGGGAAAAGAGGAAAAGTAGAGGCAGAGTGAGAAGATACTAATACTTTGTAACACTGAAAGTCATATCAGTCACAAAAAAGAGGGCTTGCAGTAATGCATACAAGCACATGTGGTGGGTGGCCACTCTTACAAATCATGAGAACAGCAACGAAAAATTAGAGCACAGTAAAATAAAGTTTAATGTTATTTTTTTTTCAGACTTAAGCCAGCAGAATAAAAGGAATTATTTCAGCCAGTGGGACCATTGTCTTTGAAGTTACCACCATATGATTGAACTCCTAAGATTAAAACTATAAAAATAAAAATATACCAGTCTCTGAAATGTCCCATCCTATCTATCACTTTGAATGATGTAGCATAAGTCATTTGTATCATTAGACAATTTCTTGATAGTTGATCTGGTTAGTATGCATAAGGGATCAAGACCTTGTAGAGTTCTCAGCTGTAGCAAGAAAAAGTTTGCATAGCACCATTGGAACTTGCAAAATGAGGAAATTACACATTAATCGTGAAATTTAGAGGAACAGTACCAACTGGAGCAGAATGAAAATTAATTTGTAGCTTTTGTTATTGTGTTCAGCATTATATTCAGGTTAGCTTATGTCTTTTTCTCATAAAAAGAAAAAAATGTAACAAATGTTGAACTCCCAAGGCATCTGAGAAAATTATATTTCCTAGTTTGAACTGATAAAATTTCAAGCTCATGTTGGTGTTATGCACATGGCTATCAACCTATTGTTGTCCTCAACAAATATGTTGGCCTCATTCATAGCTGTCCTGGGATGCATGAGACCCTGGGATGGGAGGTAGGGACAAAAAGCAATTAGAACACAGAGCTTCCAAACAAATCTTTCTTCCAAAGATTTTATTTTTATTTTTAACTGGGGGAGGAGTATGTGTGCAGGTTGCCTCAGAGGTCAGAAGAAGATGTTGGATCCCCTGTAGCTGGTTTTGAATTGCCCAATGTGGGTGCTGATAACTAAACTCTGGTCCTTTGGAAGCACTGTCTGAGCTGTATCTATAGTATAAGAACTTTTTTTTTCATTTGGTGTTTTGTTTTACCTACCCAGATTCCTAAAAGTTGTGTGCAGACTGCTTTAGAAACTACTACACAGTTGACTGCCTCAGGGCTGAAGGTGGGATGGGTAGCTATTACCTTGCCAAAATCTGAAACTGACCAAAATTAACTGCAGTTTATAGTCCAAGTTTTCCCTGTGCATTGCAAGCTTTTAATGCACTTCAGATTCCTAAAATAATTACACTAAACAGACTCTTCACTGCAGCTATTTTCGAGGTGGGAAAGGTTCCTGGTATCAAAAAATGTCCCTAATAATACATATTCTCTACTTAAAACCTTAAATATTGGTCAGCTTATTGTTCCTATAATCATTTATCAGAGACAGGCTAACTTAGCAGGAGAATGAGATTCCAAAGAAGTTCACTGTAATTCCAAGTAGCACAGCACAGTGTCATGGCAAGTATCCCCCACCCCCTTAGTCACAACACATGGTGGCATGAACACTTGCGTATCTCTACATATGTCAGTATCCTTTTACTCATAAAACCACCAGGATTTAATATAGAAGCTCTACCCTAATGATCTCATGTAATCTCGCTTCTTAAAGGCCCTACCTTTGAATGCCAGTCAGACTTAAAGTTCCACCATGTTATTAATAGTAGCTTAAGACTTTAAGGGTTAAACTAATAAAGATGGTACAGAGAGACAACCCATAAGTGGTTATAAAACCGAGTGTGATAGTACATACAGATGCCAACACTTGGAAGACTGAGGCAGGACAATCACAAGTTCAAGGCAAGAATGACCTACATAGTAAGTTCCAGCCTGGCCAGGCTACTTAGAGAGTCTGTATCTGAAAACCATTAAGAACAAACAAAACCTTGATTACTGCTAGATGTGGCAATGATGGCATTTGGGAAGCTCTGAAGTAAGAGAAATTCTAGTTAACCTGACTACATAACAGAACCCTTTAAAGATTGAAGTCTTTACTTATGTGTGTGTGTGTTGGATGAGTGATGGGCAGTGTGTGTGTTGGATGAGTGATGGGCAGTGTGTGTGTTGGATGAGTGAAGGGCAGTGTGTGTTGGATGAGTGTGATGGGCAGTGCGTGTTGGATGAGTGATGGGCAGTGTGTGTTGGATGAGTGATGGTCAGTGTGTGTGTTGGATGAGTGATGGGCAGTGTGTGTTGGAAGAGTGATGTTGTGTGTGCGTGTTGGATGAGTGATGGGCAGTGTGTGTTGGATGAGTGATGGGCAATGTGTGTGTTGGAAGAGTGATGTTGAGTGTGCGTGTTGGATGACTGATGGGCAGTGTGTGTGTTGGATGAGTGATGGGCAGTGTGTGTTGGATGAGTGATGGACAGTGTGTGTGTTGGATGAGTGATGGACAGTGTGTGTGTTGGATGAGTGATGGACAGTGTGTGTGTTGGATGAGTGATGGGCAGTGTGTGTGTTGGATGAGTGAAGGGCAGTGTGTGTTGGATGAGTGATGGGCAGTGCGTGTTGGATGAGTGATGGGCAGTGTGTGTGTTGGATGAGTGATGGGCAGTGTGTGTGTTGGATGAGTGATGAGGTGTGTGTGTTGGATGAGTGATGGGGTGTGTGTGTTCGATGAGTGATGGGCAGTGTGTGTGTTGGATGAGTGATGGGCAGTGTGTGTGTTGGAAGAGTGATGAGGTGTGTGTGTGTTGAATGACTGATGGGCAGTGTGTGTGTTGGATGAGTGATGGGCAGTGAGTGTGTATGTTGGATGAGTGATGGGCAGTGCGTGTTGGATGAGTGATGGGCAGTGCATGTTGGATGAGTGATGGGCAATGTGTGTGTTGGAAGAGTGATGAGGTGTGTGTGTGTTGGATGACTGATGGGCAGTGTGCCACCATGCATGTGTGGAGATGACAGGACAACCTTGTGGAACTGGTTCTCTGTCTACCTTTCCATCTTTCCATGGGTTTCAGGGATCAACTCAATCACCAGGCTTCATGGCAAGAGCCTTTACCCACCAAATCATCCCTTGACCCCTCTTGGGATTTTTAAAAATACACAAACCAAGGTAGATTTGTCCAGGAATGATGGAAACTAAGAGATGATGGATACCTATAATCCTAATACCTGGAAAGCTGAGGCAGAAAATGTCAAGCTAAGGCCAGCTTGGCCTGGGATACATACTGAGCTCCTGACGAGTGTGTGCTACATAGGAAGACCTTGTCAAAGGAAACAAACATTAATCAAAAGGAAAAAGAGACACAGCAGATGTTAATCTGTCCAGTGTCACATACACCATATATGTGAAAGAAAAACTCAGTGTCCATTTTGTATTTTGACATACTTCATAAACATTATGCTTTGAGATACTGTAATTTTTAGACACACTTATAATGAATTTTGGGGTCCTGCCTCAAAAAAAAAAATAATTCTTCTCTATTCTTTTAAGGCTACGCAGATATAAAGTTCTAGGGAGTAGTAACTCTGACTCAGACCTTTTCTCTCGTCTGGCCCAAATTCTTCAAAATGGATCTCAGAAACCCCGGAGTACTACTCAATCCAAGAGCCCAGGATCTCCTCACAATCCAAAAACACCACCCAAGAGTCCAGTCGTGCCTCGCAGGAGTCCCAGTGCCTCTCCTCGAAGCTCATCCTTGCCTCGAACATCTAGTTCCTCACCATCTAGGGCTGGACGGCCCCACCATGACCAGAGGAGTTCGTCCCCACATCTGGGGAGAAGCAAGTCACCCCCAAGCCACTCAGGATCATCATCCTCCAGGAGGTCCTGCCAACAAGAGCATTGCAAACCCAGCAAGAATGGCCCAAAAGGATCTGGTAGCCTCCACCACCACTCAGCCAGCTCTAAAATTCCCCCAGGGAAGAGTAAGCCAGCCAGTAAACTCAGCAGATAGGAAGTAGTGGGTTGTATCTCTGGGAAAGGTGTGAGATCTTCCTCCTAGACCTGATGCATGTGTCTCCCTGTACTGTCTGTTTCAAACAATCAGTGTTGATCTTCTTTTGCAAAAGAAAGTAACATGATCAGTTATTTATAAGAAGACATAACTATCTACATACTAAGGAATAGGGCAGGTAGGAAGCGGACCAGGAGTCAAATGCTTCAGTCCAGCAAAATCCAAGGGGAAGAAACTCATTAAATGAGCTCTTGTTTTGTAGCTGCCTTTGAAATAGGAAGTTGACGATAGGAAATAGAATGGGATTTTAAGTGATTTTGCCTAATTTGTTAATCCTCTACTCAAAGAGTATAGCAAAAGTGTTTGATATTTTTATTTTCAACTTCCTAACCTTGGAAAGTCATTGTGCAGACATTCAAATATATAAGAAGCCTGTTGCCAGGAAACTAGTACTTGGGTATATTTGGTTTGTGTGCTTATTTAGTGAATCCACACCTTTCTTTCCACTCATTCCACTCATTTAAAATTGTTTCTTACCTCTTATTTTAACAATGCACCCTAATAAGGGTTTCAGCAGCACACACTAACACTTTAAAATCTAGTCGCCCTTATTTAGTCAAACCTTGCTATTTTCCTTTGAGCCGCAGTTTTTAACTCATATATTTTTATCTCAGAAAGGAAAACAATGTCCAGCTAGAGCTGTTTTGGGCAGGCATGTTTGGAGATGGAGAGAGAGTGGGACAATGTCTTTAAAGGTAGAAGCATCCCTTGACCTGATTACATCTCCTTGTAGAAGGAGACTGACCAGAGGAGAAAGCTTCCTTTATGTCCTCCCCGCGCTCTCTAGTGCTAGCCTTCAAGATGGCACTAGGAAAGCAAAACACTTCGGAATATGGCATATGTTTTTTAGAAATTTAGAAAGAAATTAACTATGTTATGGAGGCTTATAATCTTCAGATTTTGTATTTTATACATTAAGCCAATAAGGAATGAATATCTGGGGAAATAAATTAGGCTAAATAGTTTTCTTTCAATGTTTTTATTACTTGGTTCTTGTGTTGTTTAATGCTTGGGCTTCTCATTCTTGGCCCAATCTCCATATAATCTCAATTTATAAAGTTGTAAGGATGATCATATTTGTTTTATCCTCACTCTCTTTCTAGCAAAAATCAGGCAAATTAAAGAATACCAGACTTTTTAAGTGGGCTATTTGACGCCCTATGAATGTTTAGTATGATAAAAAACCTTATTGAGGTCAGAGAAATTGATCTGCCTGCTGTTGAAATCTCTGCCTTCTAACAAACATCTACTTTCTCTTTGACCTTGTGTTGCTGCCAAACCTAAAACAGATGAATTTGAGGTAGGGGTGGGGGAGAAGGAAATGCACCAAGTGAGCATGTTCCAGTGCTGCTTCTAGCTGCCCTGATGCTATACTTGTTTTCTGTGCTGAGCTTTTTCAAAATTGGGACACTATACTGAGACATAAGGTCTCCATGAGAAATGTGGCGTAGTGTGGAATCCAATTCCTTTCCAGGTTCAAGCATTCCAGAGCAGTGCAGCAGATAAGGCAAATTTACTGTTTGTCTATTACAATTGTAATACTGGAGACTGACCCTTGTGTATTATATTGTAGAACAGTTGCTGCAATACTACTTGCATGTCTTTCATGGTAAATTATATAAATATTTATAAATATAGAGACATATGCTTATATAAATCCATTCTTTCTCATTCTGCATTTGTAATTTCAAAATCCTTAGATGATAAAATTCCTTTTCTATTATGTGCCTCCTGTACACTTGGGCATTGCCCATCTTCATTTTCTGAAAATATGTTCTGGGCATGTGACACCTAAGATTCCTCTTGCCTTCCAGGAACATAGTGCAACAGTTGGCAGCCTTTAACAAGCCAAGGTATAAGATACTTAATTTTCATTTAAAAAGTATTTTAATAGGTGAAAATTTTAAAAGGATATGCTTGTAATACAGGCTCAAAGATTACTTATGTTAGCCACATAGTTCTGTCATTATGGCTAGAGTGGATCAATGGGCATTATAATTATGGATCTGGCATCAGCTGATTTTTAAAACATTTCCTGAAAGTTGCCTCTTTCATGTTGCTCTTTTGAATAGGAGTGGGGATAGGATGTAAGATAATTAAGAAATTATCTTTCTTCTGTTACATTAGCTAACTGATGCTAAAAGTAGCCAGCTTTCATACTGACCTTTCTAGTCAGAAATGTGCTAATAGTAACCACTGGGAAAGCTAAAACAGCCCAGCCTTTTTCTTCCTAAATTTCTCTACTGATAGTCAAATCCCAAGGTGATGGGCAGCATGACACAGGATGTTTTCCGTCTCAGTTTCTTTGTTTCCTCCCACCTTTTAATGTGTTGCTTCCTTTTCTACATGTCATTAACAAACCCATCAAAATCCAGAGACAAATGGCCTCATTACCTGAGAATGTTTTATTTTGCATGTAGAGAAAATAGCCAACCAAAGATGTTTTTGCTCTGAAGAAAAGAAAATGGACTAATTATTTTATGTATCAGTAGGTCCATTTATTAAGTGCTGTTCTGATATAGAGATTAAAAAGCTGAACCAAGGTGGTGGTACATACCTTTAATCCCAACACTCTGGAGGCAGAGGCAGCCTGGTCTACAGAGTGAATCTCAGGATAGCCAGGGCTACACATAGAAACTCTACCTCCATCCCTCACCCCCTCAAAAAAAGAGAGAGAGAGATTAAAAAGCATAGTTTGTGCTTTTAGATGTTACATTTCTTTCAGGTTAAAAATGGAAGTTGGCAACCTTAAGCAACACTTTTGGATCAGGAGTATGATCCAGAGAATAAAACTTTTGTTTCCATTTGGCCTTTTCAGTTCCTTATTTTGAGGTTTTTATTGATAGCATATAGATCATCCAAATAAATATAAATGGTTTAGCTATTTTACTTAAGGTGAGAAACATGACTGAAGGTATAGCAAAAGTAATGTGAAACCAAACTTAAGTTACCTTTTGGAAAACAAATACCTCCTGGTTTCCATCTGCACAGGTTACTGACTCATGCCCACCCTTGCCTTGTTTCATCTCTGCGATTATTTCATTGGAGCAAAAAATAGATATACCAATAGTTTAGTTCTTAATTTTAGGTAATGTTGCCCCAAAATTATACTACTGACCTTCAAGCTTTCTTAATTGCTTTTGAAATATTAAAATCATACCTAGGAATCTTGTACAGCCTAAACATGTTTGACTTCAATGGATAGTGTACACAGGAGGAAATTGGATCGTATCCAATTCAACATTAAGATATAGATTCTTAAGTCCCCTTGCAATGAAGCTGTCAGCAGCCAGACATTAATCTCCATCCTGTGCTGGCCTTGCAGACAGGAGCACAGTTACCTTTAGTTTTTTAGCTGCATGCTTTGCAATGAATGTTTTTGGTAAAAGTTGCCTAACAAGTTAATCAAGGCCTAAAAAAAAGTAGCAAAATGGTTAAAGGCCCATTGTCATCATTATCCACTTTACATTATTTGCTCTAGCATACTAAGCCACTGTATGCTGATTTTGTGTTCTACATATACAGTATGTCTGTCTATTTTACTCCTGGCCACTGTGGAAACTTGAGGGGATTCAGCAGGCACCGGAGATTTCCTCCCAGCTGCGATTCCTAGGCTGTTTCTATGATTGCATCCATTGTACAAAGAAAAAGGTACATTGCTGCATGTTTTATAAACCTAGACCAGATAGCTAGCTAAGTCTTTGATGACAAACAGGTGCCTTTCTTCAAGGGCAGAAAACTTAGTGGCTTAAGGGAAAAAAATGCATCTTGAAAATGCTATCTTAAAATATATTTGTAGATAATCAAGATTTAGCCTTGAAGAGCAAAGTTGTTCATCTTTTAAAAACTTGTTAGCTAGGTGTGGTAGCTCATGTTTCTAACCCAATACTTGAGGGATGTGGGAAGATGGAAGAGACTCTGAAGCCAGCCTCAGCTTCATAGTGATTTTTTTTTTAATTTATTTACTTATTTTTATTACATATACAGTGCTCTGTCTGCATATTTGCTTGCATGCCAGAACAGGGCACCAGATCTCATGATTGATGCTTGTGAGCCACCATGTGGTTGCTGGGAATTGAACTAAGTCAGTGCTGTTAACCTTTGAGCCATTTCTCCAGCCACCTTCATAGTGATGTCAAAAAACAAAACAAAACTACATTCTTTTTTAAATTATATTTTGTTTTCATACATTTATGTATATTGTACGTTATACTCCCTCTCATTCTTTTGTATCTATCAAACATGGCACATTTTAAAGAATTATTTCTTCTGTCTTATTCAGGTAAGGATTGTTTGCATTCTATATTTTAAAATGTGCCTATTTCTGTTTTGTGTTGGGATATTGTTTCTGGGGATAGTTCATTTAGCGTCTCTTTTACTGAGGCAATAGGATAGTTGCAACCAATTGTACTATTAAACTTCCTTGAACTTGGTTCCATAGACAATATATTTGCAAAATAGCTATTTAGGATTTAATCCAAATGCATTATAGGATTACAGCATGTAACTACTATGGTAGTCCTTATATGTCAACATATACCCAAGTTCAGAAGCCACTGTGGTACATATTTACACCTCAGTTTATTATGGAAGGAAACTTAGGTAGTACCACAACTTGGACAGTATGGGAGTTGTGATGCCTGGTAAGCACCAAGTGGTTATTAACAGACCCCACTTCCTGTCCTCACCAAAACTTTACAAAACTCTAGTGTGCACTGTGAGCATATGTAAGTAAAGTGGAAACACATATCATTGGGTATTTGCCATATTTTGGCTTTCTCCAGAAATTTAACACAGTTTCTGAGCCTTCAGAATTTTGTTACCCAACAATGCTTGCCAGAACTGCAGGAAGAGGAGAATACTATAGTTCCTAGGAAACTCCCAAATGTGGAACAAGAACACCTACTATTCACTTATAGCGGAAACTGAGTAAAATACGTAGGCTTTCAGTTAAGTTCTTCTTATAAGAGGATTTGTGTCAGAAAATTAGTGAAAAGATCATCTCACGGTTTCCTGACTTCAGTATTTGCTCTCTCAAACAAGGACTGATAATCAGGCTGGCCGAGGCATGTACAAGGATTATTTTCCTATACTTCACCCAAATCTTGATTTGAAGAAACCCTGTAGTAAAAGTAAAGTGGCATTTCTTCCATTGCCCTTACAATGTAACAAGCTTCTCTAAGTGGGGGTGATAGTATCTACAACTATAGACTGATGATGCTGACCACTTCTGGTACCTTCAACCAGATTTTCTAGACCAACAACAGGATGAATGAGGCAGATCTTTGAGACTATAGAATTAGAGTTTGCCGATAATATAATTTTACACAAACAGTGGATAGATTGATTTCTCTACAATTTAAAATAGTTTTATATTGTACACACGATTGTTCAACTAAAGACATTAGTAAACCAAGTTTTTATGTAGACTATCTTTACCATATGATGCTTTTTAAAACTCTTATAAAACATGATTTAAATCCTCAAAAATTCACTTGTATCATGAGCAAATTTAGACTATGCCAGGTGTTTTTTGCTCATCTACAGCAGTAAACAAGGCTACAGAATTTGACTGTGATTTACTTTAGGGAGTTTGATGACAAGAAAGCTTTGATACTTTATTAAAAGACAGGTTTTTTGTTTCTTTGGTTTGGCTTTTCAAGACAAGGCTTCTCTGTGTAGCCCTCCCTGACTGTCTTGAAACTAGCTTTGAGACCAGGCTGGCCTTGAACTCAGAGATCTGCCTGCCTCTGCCTCTGCCTCTTGGAATGCTGTGTGCACTACCACCACCACTACCACACCTGGCTAAAACAGTTTCATTGAACTATTCATCAGTTAGTGTAATTAGTTATCTAAGTTAAAGATTTCAGAAATTAAGGTATAGGAAAATAAAAGAAATATGTCTTTTAAGACAAAGAAAATGTAGCACTGGGCCACTCGGGACTTTGAAATTGGATTGGATTGCCTAAACTTGGTGTCTGTCTATAATCCCAGCATTTAGGAGGTGAAGGCAGGAACAGGAGTGAAGGTCTTAATGTGCGTTACAAGGAGTTTGAAGCCAACTTGGGGTCCCTGAGACCATGTCTTGAAAAAAAGAAAAGAAAGAAAAAAGCAAACACTTAGATCAGAGAGATTGGGTTGGATGTGTTGAGTACAAAGAACAGATCTGATGATCCAGGCCTGAGTCACCTTGCTGTTCTCATTTCCCTTTGACACCTTTCTTGAAATAGCACTATTTCATCAGATCATTTATTTACAAACTCTAAGCAAAAGGAGGCATGTCTGATTTTGTGTTAGATATAAGCTATTATTATTGGCAAATGTTATCAGATTTAGTCACAACCTGAATTCTCTTGTTGAACAAGACAAATGAGATTACTTTAATCCATTTTTAAATCTATTTTTCTGTCCTCCTCTTAATGAGAAGTTGCTCTTTAAAGTTGTTTTAAGTGTATTGCACTGTATCCCTTTCCCCTCCCTGCATCTTCCTTTTATACATTTTTTTTTTTTTTGCTCAGGCAACCAAGGTCGTAGAGTATTGAAAGAAAAATATGGAGTGTTTTTGTATAGGCCATCTGTACATAAAAGTGTAATTATTTATTTAATTTTCTCATTTGTATCATATTAAAGCTTTGTACAGTGTTTTAAGTTCTGTTTTAAAATTATTTTGTATTTTATTTTTATATCTAGTAATAAAACATTCAGTACGCATGCAAACTTTATTGTTGTTTGTGTTATTGTTTTGGATTTCAAAAAGTGGAATATAGTTCCTAATCTACAGAGTTACAGATTCAGTAAACCAGAAGTTATCACTTTTGGGACTAACTGAATAGAAACTCGGTGAAAAACCAGGGTTCAGGGGTTTGAGGGGATACGTGGCTTTGAAATTAAAACGCTCCTGCCTCTGTCTGCCAAATGCTGGGATTGCAGGCATTCACTAAACCCAGCACAGAATTAAGCCTTGAAAGCTCTCCTCCCTAGCAAACAGAGGGATTACTGCTCTCTACTCTTTGTTACCAAGTTGTCTTCCTTTGAAGGCCTTTGTTTTTCTCAACTAGATCCCTATCTTTTTTTTTTGTTGTTGTTGTTGTTTTTCTGAAACAGGATTTCTCTGTATTGCTTTGGAGCCTGTCTTGGAACTCTGTAGACCAGGCTGGCCTCAAACTCACAGAGATCCGCCTGCCTCTGCCTCCTCCCAAGAGCTGGGTTTAAAGGCGTGTGCCACCATCGCCTGGCCTTAATTTTTTTTTTTCACTAAGGATCAACATCCACAAATCTCTCATATTTTTCAAAATAAAGATTGACGGGTGATGTAGCCCAAGGGTTAACCAGCAAGTGGGGGTGGTGCATGGGTGTGTGTCCAGGGAATTAAACATCTGCAGAAATGCCTTACTCTTCCAGAAGCTAGTCTTGAAAATGCTTTACCTCTCAAATACAAGAAGTTGCAATATTCGCCTGATGTAAACAATTTCATACAATTTGTAAAGACAAGGCTGATGGACAATTATGTGTGTAGTGTCCGGAGGACCTTTAAGGGTTGTGATCTAACGTTTTTTATAAGATGTTTCTCAGCAGGAGACCTCTGGAAAGCTTGAGCAGCGGTGAAAAGTCAGTCTTTGAGAAGGAGGGGAGGGGAGGTCAAAATTGGAGGTTACTCACGTAACTTTTTTTAAGTTGGGGAGGGAGTGAATCAAAAAGCTCTAGTGTTGGTGGTCGGAGGCTGTGCTTATGGCAGATGTGAGGTCCAATAGGCTGCTGTCTTCTTGAGTTGTTCACTTTTTCTGCCAGGCCTCTCTTTCGGACCCGGGGTGTCCACAGAGCTGCAGCTGTCTCCTAGCAGTCCTGTCCTAGCTCACATTGCTCCTGGCCCAGGCAGTCAGGGAAAAGCCTAGGCGCCTTGCAGGCCTACGCTGGCGCTGGCGGCGCTGGTAGGCTAGCGGGAAGAGCGCCGAGAATCTTCCCCGAGGGCCAGAGCCAGGCCCCACCCCACAAGCCCCGCCCCGCCGCCCAACGGTCGCTCCGAGCCGCCGGCCCCGCCCCTCCCGGCCATCCGCGGCGCATCTGCGCCTGCGCAGTCGCCTCAGAGCGCCAGGACCGGGATGGCGGCCGTTTTGGAGTCGCTGCTACGCGAAGAGGTGCCGGTTGCAGCCGCCGTGCGTTGGATCGCGCGCAGCACCCCGAGTTCGGAGGTAACACTGCCGACACGCCCTCAGGCCTGCCGGGCATGTGCTTCCCGCGGGGGCTGATGCCTCAGACCCTGCGCCCAGCCTGCCCTGGCTGACGGCCCCGCGCCAAGGGCGCTTCGCTGGGCGCCACCGCCGGGCCGCCCGCCCGCCCACCCTCCCTGCGGCCTCAGCCGCTGGTGTCCGGGGCTGTCAGCTGACCCTCTCGCCTCGCGACCTCTGCTTCTTCCTCAGGATAGCTCCGAGGTGGCCGCTCTGAGCGCACTTCGGCCTCTGCGGAAGGAATTCGTGCCGTTCCTGCTGAACTTCCTGAGGGAGCAAAGCAGTCGCGTTCTCCCGCAGGGGCCCTCAACCCCCGCCAAGACCCCGGGCGC